ACAAAATATGTCAAAGAACTAGAGCTACTATAGAAAAAAATTAGATTAATTTTGTTCCCTTGTGATATAATTAAAAAATCGTAACAAATCGCGTAAAATTACGAAACATGCGAAATTATTGCGTATCCCATAAACAATGTTTAATGTTAAGATATTTCATAGAATGGCGAAAGCTCACGCGATTTTACGATTACCGCGACCTTTAACGACTTTATGTGACTTATGATTTCAAAACGTCATCAAAACTTGGATAATATCAAACGTAATTTTACTAAATTATTATATCATCATGATTAGCGATTACTTTTCATCTATTTCTGGACGTTGGCCTCCTCCAACTGGACTAAAATGCAATAGAAATACACTGTACCGAAACGAAAATAAATGTGATTTTTTAGTGTTAACAATCATACATATTCACAACATATTCGCTATAAAAAAATGTTTATAGATTTAGACAAATCTATATAACTATAATTCTTGAAAGGCCGGCAACGCACTTGCGAGCCTTCTGGAAATGTGAGTTTCTATGGGCACATCACTTAACATCAGATGAACCTCCTGCCCGTTTGCCTCCTATGACATAAAAATAGTTTTTTTAAAGATTCTATTTAGTTTTACTTCTTTGCTTTTATGTGCTGTTTTTCTTTGTTTGTTGGTAATTTCTATTTTCTAATAAAATTGAAGTATGCGTTTAAAATTCCTAACGTCATATTTTCTTGTATTTTTAAAGCAAACATATTGTTTTAGAATTTATAAAAGAAAATAAATAAGACATTCGGTCGGCCAATTAATCATAAAATGCACTGCACGTACTATATCATCATTATGAACTATTTATTAGATCAAACAATCATACTTAAATTGTTTTTGAACGGTCTCATTCACATTTTAATTATAGAGTTCAATGCAGAAGTATAATATATTCACTAACACTACACTTGAGTGTTGAGGTATTGACAGCTCAACGAGTTTCCATAACAATGGCTGCTTCAAGCTAGAGGGCTTTTCATAGAGCACTTCCATTTCATTTATAAATATTTTCTATCTACTACTTGTTATTCCAGTGCTCTTGAACAAATAATGTATGCATTTGCATTAGCCAATGTGATCCATTAAGTAAAATATGTTAAGAGCTAAAACTACAATATATGACTTATTATAATTGGTATAAAAAACAAGTGAAGTCTTGACCTCAGATTTCTGTAGTTGTTTTGATAATTTTATAATTCTGTGATCAGTTAGTTGTTAGTTGTCTGTGTCTTACACACGTGTTAAATTGTGCAAGTAGAAATAAATATCCTTTGGTGCGCATAAGGTTTTTAAAAGTACATACTGTAATACATAATACAGTCGTAACAATAAAACATCAGGCTTGCTCTCTTTTAAAAAAAGAGAAGAAGAAGAAAAGTTACTGGAAAACAGTCATCCACTATTAGCAAGATTGTGTTAAAATTAAATGATATGTGTGTGTGTAAATTTTGACGGCTTTATTACCATAAGATAATTTTACAACGCATAAAGATTTTATTCAATATTGTATCAGTCAATAGGTAGGCACCAGCTACCTTCAGGTTAATTAATAAGTTCTGATGTTTTCAAAAAAATTTAATTGTATCTACCATTTATTACTATTTTTGATTTCATATATCTACCGTATATTCTATAGTATACCATATATAAAAATAGAGTCATAAGCAGACTATTAAGTGGTATAAAGCATTTGCATATTGTGTTTTATGAAAATAAAAGAGAACATCAAAAGACAATATTGACTTGAGACTAACAGCTTCGGGTTCAAGTAAGGTTTTAAAAACATTTACATTGATGTTCTTTGCGGCTGCCGGGGGAATGAACTTTTCCTTCAGTGGTTGAAAAACTTATTTTATTATTTCTTCAAGACATTTTTATTAATGACGTCTACTGATTTTGTAAATATAGTGAGTTGATTTTTCTTAATTTATTACACAAAAATCCTTTTGATAAAACTGAACTGGCTTCAAGTTTGACTGAAAAGATGCTTTGCAATTACTTATGTGTTTTATTATGATCAGTTTCCATCAGTTCGACATTGGGAAACGCTTAGCCGTATTTGTAATTAAACGAAAAGACGAATATTCATCGTTAATTAATTCACGTTGTAGGTAAATAATAACAAAAGTGTGGAAACTCGATTTATGCAAGCAATGATAAAACACACCTTATAATTAATAACGTAAATTTAACAATTTATGAAAACAACCCGAAAAGTTTTTATAGATTTGTTTTTTTAATATCGACAATTTTTAAGTAGTTTAGATAAACAAATTTATTTAACGACATGCTATAACTAACTTAATATCTAGTTATATTAGTATTAAATCACTAACCAAACTGAAGTTTTCTAGATTAAAGGTTCGACTAATGTCATGTAATTTAACTAGAATTACAACCCATCAATCATGTTCAAGATTCATCAATTTTGCCCGTATTAACTATGATGTTATTTACATAATATTTTGTTATTAAACATGTCGTCATGGCAACATGTAACGATAGAAGCATTTTAATTGTACGCCGTCGCAAAATAGCTTTGGTCATAATACTTACAATACACATACTAGGACATAATTTAAGTACGTTGTTGTATACTATTTATCATTCTTATTTCATTAAGTTTCGCACATAGGCTCTGTTTTTCTCAGAATCCTATACATTTTTGTCATATATGAGCCGTACTTAGCTTTACATCTCTATTCAGAATTTAAGAGTTACCTACTAAAAAAATTAATTCTTGTAGGTAAAAACGGGCAGGACGTCTGATGTTAAGTGATACGGCCGCCCATGGACACTCTAAATGTCAGAGGGCTCACGAGTGCGTTGCCGGCCTTTTAAGAATTGGTACGCTCTTTTCTTGAGGAACCTCAGTCCAATTGGTTCGGAAATACTTTAGTGGGCAGCTGGTTTCTCATAGTGGTGGTGCGCGGTGGGCGCCCAAACTGCCTTGAAAAACTCTTAGTTATGGAACAACGGACGTCGAGGTGATACGGGTGGAATTTCGTATTCTACTTCCGATGATTCTCTTCTGAACACTCTCCGTGTCAAATGCGGTAGAAGATGCAGAGTGATCCCACACCTCTACGCAACGCCAAGGGATCAAACCGCTCGGAGAGGGATTGGTCATAGGCAATTCGAACGGCTCTTCGCTGAATACGGTCAACAGGAAGGAGCTGCTACTGGGGAGCTCCCGCCCAGAGGTGAGTACAGTATTCCATGAGGGGCCGAATTTGTGCTTTATACAGTTGCAAGCCGTGGCCCGGAGTGATGTACCGCCTAGTCTTGCTGAGCACACCAAGCTTTTTGAAGGCATTTCCCTCCAAATGACAACGAAACTGAACGTCATTCGATATGTCAACGCCAAGTATTCCGATGCTGGCTGTTGCTTTTAGAAGAGTGTCTTCAAAAAGAGGAGTGTGTTTTTTAGTATCAACCTAATTGTCGATAAAAATATGAATAATGAAACAAATACCTGTCCTGTTAAAAGAGTGGCGGGCCTTTATCCTCCTTGATTTAAAAGCATGTTACTGCGTACTGAATTGTACAAAATTGAAAACAAAGATATATATACGTTTTTACATTACACTAATGGATTAAAATGGTCTGAAATTTGTACAATAGTTATTGGACTATTTTTCCTAGACAAAAAACATTATTTCTGAAGTGGGTTTTTTTAATTAGAATGAAACTTGCACTTTCAATAATTAACTGGATATACAGGGATTATTATTATTATCAAAGCTTTATTAATGAATCCATACAAATATTGGATAGTTAACATTTCTTAATATGAGTAATAGTTGTGTTAGTTTAAGTGTTTTTTGTGGCCTATTTAGGGTAAATAAATATGGAGGACCATATTTATCCATTTCTCTTTCTTTTTCTCTGATTTTTCTTAATGCATTGTTCAGATCTAATTGTCTTGTTTTGGATGATAGGGATCCTTTATTTTTATTGTTGAACTTCAGTGCATAATTTTAATTGTTAAAACTGCGCTTTTTTTTTCCGTGACTATGGGTTGTACATATATAGAATAGATTCTATGATATTCATTATTTGTATTGAGTTGACTTGTCATATTATCATGGATCTCCTGAAATATGTTGCTTAAAAACCAAATAGCTATGCAAAGGAAAAGTACTACTTCCAGGGACTATTATTATAGTAACGTGTAAAAACTAAGCACTTTTAAATTATACAGTTTACCTTCCAACATGTATAAAAATCGTGTTTAAAATGTATTTGTAAAAGTAGTAAGCGACATTACAAGTCATCACCCATGTAATTATTATTTCAATATTACGTGTATTTAGGTTGTACTTGAAAAAATATTTTTGTCACAGTACAAATTCGTCAGCTTTCAGAATCACACGTTTCAGAGGTGTTACCTCGAAGTTGAAGTTATTTATTACTCTGTCTGTATTTTACAATTTACTAATATCTCTGCCGACAACACGGTGACAGGTCAACACGCAACATTCTAACAAGACCCTGAAGGTTAAGGTGAGGGAAGCTATAAGTACCACAATATATTATATTATTTATTACATGCCTACGAACAGTGTTATTATTTTACTTAAGAATGTTAAATGCTTATTTTAAAGATTAAGAAACCTAGTAAGGGTTTAAAGTCTAGTAAGAGTTTTTATGAAAATTCATTTTACTTTACTAAAATGAAAGGCTTTTCTATTCAGTGACACAGGTAGTCTAGCTTAAAATTTGATGCATTTTCAAGGTTTACTTCAAACATTTTTAGGTGTGGGCGAGATCACGAGGTTCGAATATTCTCTGTTTTGACGAACCGCGCCTAATTATAAAAATCATGCAATGTGCCCATCAAAAATAGTTTGTACATTAAATTATACCATTAGGCGCTTGGTAAAACGATAATGACTATGTTTAAACAGTTGCCCTGGATAGTTTAACGGTTTCAACTAACCTAGTATTTAAAATGCACATGCACAATGCGGTTGTCGACGTCATTTACTTGCAGTTATATTTTTGATGCTATTGCGCCCGCACGAATCAAAGGAATGCAAGGATACGCAGCTTTACAGTTTGTATTGTATAGTGATTATGATGTGTATTTTACCAAGTGCAGTGATTTAATACATAACATAACTATTATGGTAAGACCGATTCTTAAAAACATGTTAAAATATATAAATTATCCATAAAATAGGATCAAATTTTAAATCCGTTTGCGTAATATGCATTATATTCTATCATATTATTTATTAATGGATATATGGAACTTCATATAATTTGTACTCCTGCGCGAAACATATTACGTTTTTTATCTGTGACCAATCTAACTCAATTATTGATAACTTTGGTCTTTGACAGCTGATAACTGATAAGTGACAACAACAATGTTACGTTGAAAAACGTTATAAAACTTTATACTATGTAAACGTAAACAAAGCATTTTATATTTTTTACTTATAATATTAACAATGAACTTTTAATACTGCTATATTTTTTTATTAAATATATTTTTAAGAAGATTAGCATTACTTGTCTCCTTTACCTAATGAACTAAATATTTTATTTAAAATGTACAAAAAGTTTTTACAACAACTAAAAGTGAGTTTTCTTTGAATTTATTTTCCATAAAATCTAATATTATTTTCCTAAATCTTCCTTCTTTTCAGACCGTTCTTGAATCGGGGAGTGTGGGGAACGCGTCGTCATCTGATGAGGAGTTGGAGCAGTGGGAGCAAATATTCATGATGAGAGATGAAAATGGAAATAGTTATCATGACAAGTAAGTCTTCTTGTCTTTTGTATCATGTTAATAAAAAAGCATAGTAAGCTTTTCAGTAACTAATATTTCTTTAGGGACCTTCATGCATACATAAACTTAGCATATATTGCATTTTGTGAGCAGTACTAGTAGATGAATCTAAATATCTACTAGCCTAGCTGTAACTTTGAATAATATTTTTAGCTCTTGTAGGTACAAATGGCAACTCATATAAGATTTCTTTCATCCTTAATTTTTTTTAGGAGAAAGAAAAGAAGCATATGGTGTCGGCCGTCATGTATTCCTGTGTCAATAGTTATATTATTGATTGTTCTTGTGGTTTTAGTGCCACTATTAGATCAGCCGAATATAGCCCAGGTGCTGCCCACTGCTAGAGACTTACATTGCTCAGATGAGTGTAGGTAAGGTTAATTATTATGTGTTGTTAAATATTAATAATTTCTCCACACTAAGAATTAATATGAATTACAGTCCAGTACTTCACATTATACTAATTTGTATAGTGGCTTTTGTACCAATTATTCTCAAGTGACAAAATAATTATACTCTTAAGTGGGCCATAGACGGACCGCATGTTGCAGTCGAGACCGACTGCTCTAGAGTGGTCGCGTTGAAGTCGTACACAACTGCAACACGACCGCATAATGCAGTCGGCTACGACTGCTTGGAGCAATTGTGTTTGACCGCAAAATAATACTGATGCGAGTTCATTTACAAGATGGATTTCGATGAAGAAACACTGCTTCTTGTTCTATTACTACGCAAGCGTAGGCGTAGAAGACACCGCAGTATGTGGGTGCGTCCAATACTACAATCAAGAGAACAGCATGGAATATTTCATACTTGCTATCACCAGCTGAGAGAAGACGCTGAAAAGTTTTTGAACTACTTTAGAATTTCCGTGGTTTCAATTGATGAATTAGTTAGTATTTTATTTTATTTGAGGGAGTGGTGCGCGGTCGGCAGCAACCGCTTGTAGCGGTCCGTGTGTGGTGGGTCCGGCAGCTCTAAGCAGTCGACCGCACGGCGAAACTCGACCGCAGAGCGACTGCTCCGACCGCTCAGAAACTGGTCGTGCGGTCCGTGTATGGCGAATATGAATTTAGTATGGAAACTGCAGTTTGCCGTGCGGCGACCGCTTAGAGCAGTCGGTATCGACTGCAACATGCGGACCGTCTATGGCCAGGCTTAGCAAGCATCCTATCTTCACTTGACAGGGCATAAATGTTTTCAATAATTTTGAATATAACCTATGTTAATATAGCATTTAATTGGTCAAAGAATGTTTGTAATAGGTTGGTATTTTTTTAATTTAGTCACAAACATACAAATCCTTTCTTTTTTTATAATATTGAAATAAATTCTTCCATTCTGACAATCCTTTACTATGTCCAATACTGTGGTTTTGGTTATAGTATTGATATAGGTAAATGTGATTTTTGTTGGAAGGTCATGGTGCTGTCCACATATAATTGTCTTTGATGCACTGCATTTAAATTTGGAATATCTTTATTTTATTTTTACATGTGCGGTGTCATTTAATTCAGTTCATATATTTTCTCTTACAAGTAAACACAATGTTTTACAATTTATTTTGCATTTTAATTAATTGCTTTAGCCACTAGTCCACCCTATCAGTGGTAGCAGAGCGTGGTTGGATAAATATATCGGGATATAATATATCTAGTGGAAAATGGAAGAAGCATATTTTAAAATAATAAGTAAATGAGAAAATACAAATTTTTAAAATGAGCTCGAGTATCAGAAGCATAGAACCGTTAAAAAAATCGAATTACGATACCTGGTGCTTACAAGCACAGGCGATTCTCATAAGATACGATTTGTGGGAATACGCTAATGGTGAAAAAACGTTAACGGCAACTGCGACTGCCGAAGAAAAGAGTGCGTTCCTAAAGGAAGACTTAAAGGCAAGGTCAGAGCTATTTTTACTTATATCTCCACCAGAACTAAAACAAATTAAAGGGTGTAATACATCTAAGGAGGTATGGGACAAACTAAAGTCTATATATCAAAGTTCAGGGGGTCTAGCCATATTGGTGTCGAAAAGTATTCTACATACACTACCGCTTTTGCGTAATTGTACTGTCGAAAACGCTTCGTTCGTAGCCAAGAGGCATGTCGATACATTACCGCAAAGTCGACAGCGTAGATGCGAGCTGCTGTTCGTAGCACCTTATTCCGTCATATTGTCTCTGGATTAAATGTATTCCTAATGTCACTTTTATAAACAAATAAAAGTTAAAACTACAATATTATTGTTAATTTGCAATAATTGCAAATTCCAATTATTGGAAGCTGCAAAAGGGACATTAGAATGTCAGTAAGGTCGGAACAATTTTCGATTTAAGTGGAATTTACTGAAGGTGTAAAGTGAATATATGAATTTTAATTGCATGTTTAAATTACTTATGGTTTGTTTCATGTTTTCTCAGAAATTTAAGGCTACAAATAAATACAATATTTTGAAATTGCATAATCGCGATATATAATAATTAGTAGTATACTCATACTTTGATATTTTTAGGATTTGACCTCACAACTAATCTGCAAAATGAAGAAGCAACATATTTTGTTACCGCTTAGAAGAAACAATAGAAATAGTACTGTGGATTGATAAATAAAGAGTGAAAATAAGGTTGACTAGAAGTTGATAAGGAATAGAAGGATAGTCCAAGAAATTAAAAAATAATAGAAAAAAACGTAGACTAGTGTGAACACTGAAATTAGAGTTTGATTTAAGCTTTAATTAGGTTTGGTGTTTGTGCTTGAACATTTTTAATGTCAATTTGAAAGCAGATTTATATATAAGTGTAGATTTTATTAGTGATTTGCTACTAGTTGGAATTATCTCTGTTTATGTCCAACAAACAATTTTAGTTTAAGTTAGAGTCATAAAGGTTGATTGTTTATAATAAATGTATACTTTTAGAAAGTGAGAATTGAAAAGCAGCAAGTACTCAATGAAATGAAAAGAGGGATTAATAAAAATTATAAAATAGAAACTTAGTCTGGTATGAAATTATAAGCCTTACTCAACCTTTGATTCCATATTGATGCTCCAACATCTTAGATATAAATTTAAGTTTGATGCTGATTTTAAGTTAATATTTATGTCAATTAAGTTTTGGTTATATCAGTGATTTGCTACTAGTTAATATGTAAATGCCAAATCTGTTTAAGTAAGAAATGAATAAACATTGCATGTTATGTATTTGTCAGTTTTATTTTTGGTAATTTACCTATGTCTTCTTTAGTAAGAAAAACCATTAAAGTGGTTAACAATATAAGTTTCTTTTACAAGAATATACAGATAATGCATATATGAATGACCCGTACCTACTAATAGTTAGAAATATTAAACAAATAGGTAGCAAAATAAAAATGTTCCAGTTATGGTTATTTTTTATTAAAATAAGGCACCAAATATCTTCCTTAACATAATGCAGTCTACATAGAAAAATAAGCATATATAACAACTTGTTAAACAATACAGACATTACTACTGAACACACACAGGTGCACCAAATTCAATGCATTACTACCTAATGTAGATGTATTCAATTATTCATATTTATATATGTAGATAATTAACTAATAAATGTAAGTGTTAATTTGCAGCAAAGTCAGTATCTTATTTGTGTGCTGTTATATACAAAAAAATTGTTCAATTCATAAAACCTAACGTTAGATGTTGTGATGATTTCATAAAATTACTATGATACCTACAGTTACTATGAATACATCCTGGGCGATTAAAAAAACAGTGATTGTTTCCTTAACACAACAATTGTAAATAATAATAGTTATTTTAAAGATATAATTCTTCCCAAAATCTACAAATCCAGTTTGTTTATAATAATATCTCATTAACATTCAAACTGCTGAATTTATTAAGATTAAATGTGGAAGAACATAGTTTCAGTTACTGTTTCCTGTTCATGAGGTAATGTTACTTAACCAACCATTGTTTCATACTCCACTTGTCTTATTTTTTACATTATTCATAAAATGCTTCATTCCCCATTTTCTGGTACATAATATAACACTTAAATTAATTAAAAGATAAGACTTTAATAAAACTTGTCCATTTGTGGTTTTTTTTAATATTTTTAGTTGTCTTATTAGCTTCTCTTTTTCTGAAAAGAAAATATTTTAGTTAGTACTTTGATCAAATAGAAAACTGACAAACTAAACTAAGATCGGTCCAAGGTTTGTTCAATAGGTAACTTTAATTTACTCTTTACTTAATTCTAAACTTAAAAATATACTTTATTTGTCACTTTGCTGCTTATTGTCAATTAAAGTTTTTAATAACCAAACAATGTCAGTAACTCCCAAGGGACTTGAATTCAAACTTCTCATTCATTAACAATATTATAATAACTTCTCTAGTATATTGACTTAGTAAATAATTAAAGAAAATATCTGCTTACCATTATTTAGTATTGCTCACTAGATTTTATATTTCCAAAGTTCATAAAGTATAAATCCACTTTATTTGATTAATTTAAATCAATATTATATCATTATCAACTTCTATTATAATTACAATAAAATATATTTAGAACTTCTAATTATGTTCATTAGTGACTGCTTTCTCATCTGAAATATACAAATAAAATGTACAATCATTTAACTTTGTGATTACATAATATATGCAATATTAAATGGTATACGTATTTGTCAAATTAAAGAACAATTTCATGAACTTGCATGCAATATAAATATCAATAAAAGATATCCAATATAACTAGGATTTACCTCTACTAATTTGCTGATTTTCTTGATATTTTCATATTTATCTGTGTCTATTATGTTATCCTCGCATTGATTCATAGAAAAACTAAAACTCTTAACTTAAAAATATTAACTCTAGTTTAAATTTATTAAATTATTATAATTACACGAGAACGTTAAAAAAGACAGATAACAAATTAATTATTAAAACCATTTCGTAAAAACGTCCAAAATATGACATGTTTTTAAAACGGTAGCCATTAAAGATGGCAATAGTTGTACTGAATTATTGCAAACAGCAGCTTTTGAGATAACGCTAAAACATGGCGGAGAAACGCCGTTTTTTCTACACTGCCGAAACATTAATTGGCCGTTGGCTACCGAATAGCGGCAGCGTTAATGTGTGTCTTTTCGTAGCACTGTCATGGCGTCGCTTATTGTATCCCGACTCACGCCTTTAGGGCCTAGGCTACCGACTGTCGACACGAGCTGTCATTTTCATACAAATTTAGTTTTCGACTTTCTACATACACTACTGTTAAGCCATCTTGGCTAGACCCCCAGGGCCGGCAAGAAAGGCTACGCTATTAAAACAATTAGTACTGAAGAAAATGACTCCACAAGAAGACGTGAGAGACCATCTCAGTAATTTTATGGATGTAGTAGGTAAATTAGAAGACATGGATGTCAAAATTCATCCAGAGTTATTAAGTATAATGATGTTATACAGTTTACCTACAAATTTCGATAGCTTCCGAACGGCAATTGAGTCGAGAGATATTCTGCCAAGTCCTGACAATTTAAAAATAAAAATCGTAGAAGAATACGACGCAAGAAGGCAAACTGAAGCGAGTGAACCTCAGACTTCAGAAGCATTCTACACAAAGACGAAAAAAAGGTACAATTTTGCAAGATTTGAAATAAAAAAGGGCATTCCATAGAAGCTTGTTGGTCAAAGAAGAGACCCAATAATCCCAATAAAACTAAAGATCAAGAAAAGACTTATAACATCTGTTTAACAGCAGGAACGTCGAAATGTAAAGGCAGTTTATGGTGTCTTGACAGTGGGTGTACGTCACATATGACGGGTGATAAAAGTATACTCCATAACTTAATCCCCGCGACTGACACTCTAAAGCTAGCCTCAGAAAAACATACGACCGAAGTTAAAGGGAAAGGAAAAGCCGAACTTTATACAAAGGATAGACGATATAAAATTAGTCTTTCAGACACATTATATGTACCTGATTTGTCGAATAATCTAATTTCTGCGAGCAAAATTACGGATCATGGCTATAAGGTTCTATTTGAAAAGGAACAAGCCAGTGTCACGAAAGGCGGGAAAACTGTATTAAAAGCTCACAGAAGAAATGGATTATACTATCTTGAATTTGATAAACCGGAAGAGACAGCAAATTTCACGCCTAGTGATGAAAGCGAAATTATGAAATGGCACAAGAAATTAGGTCACGTTAATGAAAGAGACCTAAAAGAAATGGTTAAAAATAAAATGATGCGAGGACTCGACTTTAAAGAAAAAACTTTGGGTACCTGTGAGACTTGTATCAAAGGAAAATTTTCCACTCTACCATTCAAAAGCCATGGACAAATAATCTCAACCGAAGTGCTCCAGATAATTCACAGTGACGTGTGTGGCCCATTTGAGAATGAATCAATGGCCGGATCAAAGTATTTCGTAACATTTATTGACGATTATACAAGATACTGCTGTGTATATTTCTTAAAAGAAAAGAGCCAAGTAATCGATAAATTCAAGGAATATAAAAACTATGTTGAACTGTTTCATAAGAAGAAAATTCAAAATCTACAATCTGATAATGGAGGCGAATTTAGGTCTAAAGCGTTTGACAAATTCCTTAAAGATAATGGTATAAGCCGAAGACTATCTGCACCTTATACCCCACAGCAAAATGGCATGAGTGAAAGGAAAAATCGGTCGCTGATGGATAAAGCCAGATGTCTGATGCTAGATGCCAATATCCCTGCAAAGTTTTGGGCAGAAGCAGTAAACACTGCAAACTATTTAATAAATAGAAGCCCAGCAAGAGCTCTCAAAGGCAATTCCCCATATGAGAAATGGGTACAACGAACACCATCAGAAAATCACCTACACGTATTCGGAAATAGAGCGTTTGTGATGAACAAAAAACGAAGAGGAAAATTCACAGCTAAAGCCACAGAAGGAGTATTCTTGGGATATGCGGAATATACAAAAGGTTTTAGAATCTATATACCCGAAAAAAATGATGTTATTATCAGCAGAGACGTAAAAGTAATGGAAAAGATGCATTATGGCGGTACTCCTGCTGAAAAACGCGAAGATCATACTCCAGAACCTGAAACAGAACAAATAGAAATTCAAGAAACAAGAAACAAAATTAATGAGAACTTACCTTTTCAGGAATCTAACCCCCTTTATTCCAGCTCTAGTCAAGATCCTGTTGATGAACCATTTTTCTCAAGTGGATGGAAGTTATTTAGTGGGAACCAAAGAGAAAGGCATTTTGTTCAAACGAAACAAACCAATAGAGAAAATCGATGCTTACAGCGACTCAGATTATGCTGGAGACCCATTGACGCGAAGAAGCACTTCTGGCTCCGTGCTAATTATAGCCGATGGACCAATATCATGGGCATCCAAGAGACAGCCTATAGTAGCGCTATCGTCGACTGAAGCTGAGTACATAGCCGCAGCAGACTGTTGCAAAGAGGCATTGTATCTCAAATCTCTATTACAAGAAATAACCGGTTTGGACATAAAAATAAATTTGCATGTTGATAATCAAAGTTCGATTCAACTTGTGAAGTCTGGATCCTTCAACAAAGGTCAAAGCACATAGACGTGCGGTACCATTTCATACATGAACATTTCGTGCATGGATTAATAAATATTAGCTACTGTCCCACAGAAATTCAGTTAGCTAACATAATGACAAAACCATTATCAAAAATAAAATTTGAAAGACACTGTGCAAGATTAATGCATATATAGAAACGTGTCTCGGCAACATGAGTGAACATCAGGAGAAGGTGTTGGAAGGTCATGGTGCTGTCCACATATAATTGTCTTTGATGCACTGCATTTAAATTTGGAATATCTTTATTTTATTTTTACATGTGCGGTGTCATTTAATTCAGTTCATATATTTTCTCTTACAAGTAAACACAATGTTTTACAATTTATTTTGCATTTTAATTAATTGCTTTAGCCACTAGTCCACCCTATCAATTTTGACTATAAAGTTCCTTTTGATCATGTCAGGCAGTTAGTCCATCTAGTTGATAAAACCATTTACAATTATTTCTAACCAATTTTCATTAAAACACAATAAAAATAATTTATTACTGAAAAGCCATTAATCATATATAATCATATATACAAGAACATTTCCTCCGCAGAAAATAATAAATGACTTTGCTGTCATATAGAAAAATTGTTTTCTATTACTAGAATTGTTCCATTGTAAACAGTTGAGTAGAGTTTAATCTTTGTGACATGAATCTTTTTGTTTTTTATTTAACATCCATAATATTTCAATGAATATTATGTGAGTTTGAAGAGAAAGTCAAATTGGTTTATTTTATAATTCGCAGTAAATATTAATGTTTGATATATGCCCAGATTAATATAACAAATAATATTGAGAGTTATTTAATTATAATTTTCTGTTTGTTGCAATGGCTTCAAATATTCGGTATAATTTTGGATCACAACAAGTTCGCCGACATACTTTCACGCTATATCGTAAACATCGAGAATAACGTTAAGTATTCTTAAAGAGTAAATTAATTCCAATAAGTACTTGATACAATATTATAAATAAGGCAGCACGAAGACAACTTTTTCCATGTATTTGAAGTTAATTTAACAAATTTATACTAATTAAAAATCTTTCGTTCGATTATTTGTTCCAAATTGCGCGGATGAAATCCAAAGAAAATTATCTGTTATATTAACTGATTATGAGTTCTATAGGTGCAAAAAAATTATAAATTAATTTGTTGCAGGTTATCTTTAGTAGAAAGTATACCAGAGGGTCATATGTATCCGCCTAATTCAACACATGCCAACACAAAAAATGTCTGGCTAGATTTGATAGACGATGCTCAATCATCTATAGAAATAGCGTCTTTGTATTGGACTCTTAGGTTTAATGAACAATATCCATATAATTCCTCTATTGAGGTAAGTAATTATATATTTTTTTAGAATATTTTTTTATCGCACATGAAGTATATTTCTTTTGGTATTTTTATCTAACTTATTTTGCTTTGAAGTGTATACTAAAGTATATACTACTGGGAATATAAAACAATAAAAAAGTGCCTCTAGTTTTTAAAGCCCACTAACTGACTAATAAGTTAATAATCTTATTTAAGTGTTTTTACATTTGTTGTCCATATATTTCCACACCGGTCTTTGTTGAGACTGTGCGGAAATAGACATATAAATAATGCGTTAAGAAATCTGAAGTTTGGAAAGGGATTGCTTTTACTTTTTGTTAGAGCGTACCAATACATATAAGTCCTTGGGCAAAGTAAGTGTCTATGGGCGGTGGTATCACTTAACATCAGGTGCGCCTCATACCCGTTTACCCCGTTATTAAAAAAACATTTACATTAAAAAGTCGATTTTTACGACTTTCCTTGCTTTTAAGAAAACTGGAACTATCGAAAGTTTGGTATTAAGTATATTTTCCCGTGTCCAAATGAGAATTCGCTACGTAAATAAATTCCTCAATTATATATCTCACTAAAAATTGTATCCAATATATTAGAAGAAATAATTTTTTATAATAATTATTTCTTCTAATAATCGTAATTGTTTCAGGGTGAACAAGTTTTCCAGGCGTTGTTAGCAGCTGGATTGAAGAGAAATATAAAATTAAGAATTGCTCAAAACTGGCCTTCTAAGTCTTACCCTAATGTAGACACTGAATATTTAGTTAAGAAAAAAGCAGCGCAGGTGAGTTTTGCTTTTTTAAGTGTTATTTAATGGGCAGTGTTGATTGAGCTAGGCTTTTACCCTAAGGTCGTGCGATCAAACAGCGGCGGGACACTTTAACAAATTAAAAACTTGTAAAATCAGATTTTGGAATGATTACTTTATACACGGAACATCGCAATATTTATTTAACACCAAATATTGCGAATATATATACAATATATATCACGTTAGCATTTGACTGACGTATTTTTAAACTTTTCTCTGATCTGTGTATTTTGACAAAAAGGTTTTTGTAGTTGTGAAAAAAAACAACAAACACACAGGAATAATTTTGTAATTAAATTTATTATATAGGTGCGAAGCCTTAACTTCTCAAAGCTGCTCGGAAGTGGCGTCCTTCACACGAAGTTCTGGATCATAGACAAGACACACTTCTACATAGGCAGCGCTAATATGGATTGGAGGTCGCTGACTCAAGTAAGTATATAATATATATAAGCATAATATGTTTGAACAGTAAAAGTCTTTTAGACAATAAGTGAGTGGTTTAAAATCTTAGTTATAATAATAAAGAAAAATATCTTATAATTTTTTTTGTGTAAATCTCGTATAAATATAATATATACTACCTATAATTTTTTTAAACTTGTAAATGATAAAAGTATCTGTCCACTTGACAAGCGAATTATAAAAATAAAAAACGCCTTTAATTTCCTGCTAAAATTACACTGCAAACAATTAAAATTTTAACATTTTGTAACTTATATATATATAAGAAATATCAAATTATAAGTAACAATTTTAGTAGGAAGCCCCTTCACAGGTATATGCCTCCAAGGAATAAATATTTCTCTTACACAAGCAAATTAGGTGAATATTATTTCCCCTATATTATATAGAAAACGAAAGGGGCAGGCAGATAAGAAGATGGGACGATATAAAGGTTGCGGGTCCAATTTGGATTCGCACCGCTCGAGAATATTGAAAAAATTCAGAGCTTCGACAAAGGCCGAGCAGTAAATAAACAACCATTTACCAGAAGATATTAAGTATAGATACTTAATATATTTACCAATTCGACTTATGGTCCTTCAAGAAAAGAGCGTAACAATTCTTAAAAGGCCAGCAACGCACCTGCGAGCCTTCTGGCAATGTGTGTGTTTGTGAGTGTCTATCACGGTATCACTTGACATCAGGTGAGCTTCCTGCCCGTTTGCCTCATATTACTTTAAAAAAAACGAAATATAGTATTTCTTGAGGCATATTTATTTATTTTATTTGTTTACACTTCGTTGCAAATAAAAGAAACACAATACATACAAATTATAAGGGATGCAACGGGCGGCCTTATCGCTAATAAGCGATCTCTTCCAGGCAACCCTAGTTAAAGAGAAAAACTAAAAAAAAGAAACATGATCCGTGCGAGAAGTGCAGAACCAAATGTTATTTAATATACGAGGGGAGGTCCAAAAGTTCGTGGAATGAAAGGGTTTAAGTAAAAATGAAACAGTAAATTTATTTTTCCTTTTCAATCAATAAAATCGCAGTCTCACGCGTGTGCGCATTGAGGTGTGTTGTGTGATTTCGTTACGGAGCTATCGCAGCGACGTATTAATTTCGTTATTACAAATATGACGGACGTTGTGAAATGTAATGTTTGCAACATTGTTTTAGATGAGCTATTATCGTATATCCAAAATAAAATATCGATAATGGATGAAGTGTCGTTAGTTAAAATTTGTGTGTCGGCATTTACGAGTGAAGAAATTAGTAACTCGAAATCATTATTGTTTAGTGCACTTCCGGCAGATCGCCGACAAATACAGCGAAAAAAAAAGGGAAAAGAATCTCGAGATATGGATGACATCATTTCCTTGTTTAAATCTACAGAACCTGAGATCTTACCAGTATTTGCTGCAAGACAACTGGAAAAACTACCTCCTATTACATTTGATCATCTTGACTGCACGAAATTATTGAAGGATTTAACAAGAATGTCAGCGGAGATCGAGACTATTAAAAATAACTATGCTACTCTAAACCACTTAGAAGATTTAAAGCAAGACGTTAATAGATTGAAACACACGTCGATAGCTACCACGCCGTGTCACAATATAAACAATCGACGTGGTGCATGGGCTAGAAATGGTGGCCCTAGAGATCCATCGCAGAGCATTAACTCGTCATTAAATGACTCGCACAATTCAATTAACTCCAATTGTGAGTCAAACAATAAAGACCCACTTTATCGAAGCATCAGTGAGGGTAGTGTGGTTCGCGAAAACATGCATTCGTCGATTATGTCGGCCGAGACCGGTATTATGACTCATACCATGACGACAGGGGCGACGGTGAATGCGGAGGCTTCAGCGGAGACAAGCGTAACTCAACAAATGAGCTCTGGACAACTGATCGAGACGGTTTTTCCAGTTGATAATATCGAGCCCACGGATGGTGCGTGGCAAACCGTTACGAGACGTAAAACAAAATGTAAACAACGTTTTGCAGGAATGACGGGTCAAGCCAGTGACGGTGTTAATTTCAAGGCGGCGGAAAGGTTTATACCTATTTTTATAAGCAATGTACATAAAGATACGGTTGAATCGGATATCATAGATTATGTTCTCAAGAAAACTCAAGTGAATATATCGCTAAAAAAAATATCAATTAAAAGACATAACAACCATTTAGCGTACAAGTTCATGATACCTGAGGACAATTTGTCATTATTTTTAGATGATAAACTCTGGCCTAAAGGAATTATTTTTAGGCGCTTTGTACATTATAAAAATCGCCATATTATAAATGAAACAAATATGAATTCCGGCCTTGTAAATGTAAACAATGGATAACGGCGTATACGCAATGACAACATTTAATTGTAAAAATATTAAACGATCCTTAGAGTGTATCAGGGATTTATGTCGTCACTCAGACATCATAGCTCTTCAGGAAACATGGTTGCTACCGAGCGAAATCTCATATCTTGGCAGTATTGAGGCGGACTTCGGGTACACGGGAACATCAGCGATGGACACATCAGAGGGAATGCTGCGGGGAGGCCCTATGGAGGGGTGGCCCTGCTGTGGAGGAGGAGTGTGTTCAATAATGTGATAGTGTTACCGTGTAATAATTCTCGAGTTTGTGCAATAAAAATAATAACGAGTGATCGACCCATAATCGTAGTGTGTGTGTACATGCCTACGGACTCGCAGGACAACTTGCCAGTGTTTACGGACTGTCTAAGTGTGGTGAGTGCTATTGTTGATGAGTATGGCATAGAATCTGTTTACATACTAGGGGATTTTAATGCGCATCCGTACTCGATATTTTACTATGAACTTTTAAATTATTGTTATGATCAAAGGTGGTCATGTATAGATGTTGAGTTGCTCGGACCGCACTCTGACACTTATACTTTTGTTAGTGAGGCTCACGGATCACGGAGGTGGCTCGATCATTGTTTAGTGACAGACGCGGCTCGCCATTCAATATCAAAAGTGTATATTATGTATGATGTGTTGTGGTCAGATCATTACCCGCTTATACTTCATTTTAATATTAAGATTATTAGTAAAAAGTTGTCCTCTATACAAAGTAACTCTGTAAACAATAACGTACGTTGGGGTCAAAGATCCGAGGAAGAAATATTGTTATATCAAAGTGAATGTAACAAGAGGTTAAAATCAATAGATTTTCCAGAGATATTTACGGATTGCGCAGGTTGTTATTGTGATAGACCTAATCATCAAGGTGCAATTGATATATTATATAACAATATTGTTATTTCTCTTAGTGAGGCAGCCGTGACTAGTCGGAAATACCCTAATAAAAATAAAATTAATGATAGAAATCAAAATATTATAGGTTGGAACAAACATGTGAAGCCGGCGCACTCGGAAGCGAGGCTGAGGTTTAGGATTTGGTTACTTCATGGGAAACCAGAATCAGGGAGGGTTTATAATGACATGTGTGAAAGCAGAAAAATATTTAAATCACGACTAAAATGGTGTCAAAACCATCAAGATTTAATAAAAATGGAAAAACTAGCCACTTGTCATGATAAAAAAGATTTCGTTTCGTTTTGGAAAGAAACAAAGAGGCTGACGCCGAGGCCGGGACTCCCAGTCAGCGTCGGAGGGTTAAGTGACTCGAAAGAAATTGCTGATTTTTTCCGAGGCAACTTCTATATATCATCCTCGCTGAGACCGTCGCGAAACGAACTCAGTGCTGTACCCATTGGTGATAGGGTTAATACTCAATTTAGCGCCAAACATGTAAGAAGCGTTATAAGTTCTATGTCAAGAGGAAAGTCCCCTGGTCATGATGGGTTAAGCATCGAGCATATACGGTACGCTGGTTCTCATATATATAGGTTATTAGCCATGCTATACTCGTTGTGTATAAGTCATGCATATCTACCCTATGATCTTATGCGAACATTAGTTATACCGGTTGTAAAAAACAAGACAGGAGATTTGGCGGATGGTTCAAACTACAGGCCTATATCGCTGGCGACTATTATGGCTAGGGTGTTGGACGGTTTGCTTAATACTCAGTTAAATAAATATCTACATTTGCACGATAACCAGTTTGGGTTTCGACCCAAGCTGTCTACAGATGGTGCTATACTGAGTCTTAAGCACACCGTTTCATACTATCTGCGTCGGAGGACGGCGGTATATGCCTGTTTCCTTGATCTTTCCAAGGCATTTGATTTGGTTTGCTACGATCTACTTTGGAAGAAGCTAGAGGATATAAGTGTTCCTCAAGAACTTCTGAACGTATTTAAGTTTTGGTATGGTAACCAAATCAATAATGTTAAATGGATGGGTGCCTTGTCTAAGCCCTATACGATGCAGTGTGGAGTAAGACAAGGTGGACTGAGCTCTCCATCTCTCTTTAATTTATATATAAACGCTTTGATTGAGACGCTTAGCAGCGAGCGTGTCGGCTGTCACGTGGACGGTGTGTGCGTTAACAATATCAGCTACGCAGACGATATGGTGCTGCTGAGTGCGTCGGTCTGCGGGGTTAGACGTCTCTTTAAGCTCTGTGAGGTATATGCGGCTAGTCATGGTTTGAAATATAATGTAAATAAAAGTGAAGTCATGGTCTTTGGGGCCGGTTGGAAGGGTGTGTCCAGTATACCCCCCATGTCGCTATATGGGGTCCCTTTAAAAATTGTAAAAACATTTAAATATCTTGGACACATTTTGACACCCGACCTCAGGGACGATGCTGATATAGATAGGGAACGGAGAGCGTTGTGTGTCAGGGCGAACATGATCGCCCGCAGGTTTGCACGATGCTCAATTGATGTGAAAGTAACCTTGTTTAGAGCATTCTGCACATCATTCTATACGAGCGCCTTATGGTCGAAATATACTCGATTGTCATACAACGCTTTCCGTATCCAATATAATAATGCGTTCAGGGTGCTGTTGCGGCTGCCTCGATTCTGCAGCGCATCGGGGATGTTTGCTGAGGCGCGGGTGGATTGTTTTTACGCCACCATACGCAAGAGATGTGCATCCTTGGTGCGCAGGGTGAGAGCTAGCGGTAACGGTATCCTCCGCATTATCGCGGACCGAGTCGATTGCCCATACCTGAATCACTGTTCCTCTATTTCATGCGGAATGATTCCGGTATGAATTAATGTAAACATACTAACAATTAGATTTAAGGTATTAAGCTGTAATTTACTAACATTGTTATGGAACCTTGTTTTCTGAATTAAACAATTAAATTAAATATAATCACCCTTAAGCTGAATACATTTATTAGATCTATGAATTAATTTTTCTAAACCATCGTAAAAATATTTTTTATCTTTTCCCTCAAAATGAGCCAAAATTGCCTCCTTTACCTCATTGTCGTCGGAAAATTTCCTTCCCCTTAAGTCTTTTTTTAAATTGGGGAACAAATAAAAATCACTTGGGGCCAGATCTGGACTATAGGGTGGGTGGACTAGTGATTCGAAGCCATGCGTGTGTAGAGCAGCCATTGCAACTTTGCCCTTGTGAACCGGCGCGTTGTCTTGCAAGAGCAACACACCCTTGGTCAATTTTCCCCGACGTTTTTCTTTGATGGCATCCTTTAATTTTTCTAGTATTGTTGCGTAGTATTCTCCGGTTATGGTCCTGCCCTTTTCTTTATAATCAATCAGTATTATCCCCTCACAATCCCAAAAAACAGTAGCCATCAACTTTCCAGCCGACTCCGACACTTTGAATTTCTTTGGCGGTGGTGTCCCCTTTTTATGCCATTGCATGGACTCTTGTTTGGACTCAGGCTCGAAGTGATGAACCCATGTTTCATCGCCGGTAACAATTCGCTCCAAAATCGATCCAGGATCGTCGCTACACAACTCCAAAAAATGTTTTGACGCTTCGACGCGCTGCTGTTTTTGAAGCGGCGTGAGCATTCTCGGTACCCATCTTGCACTGACTTTTGTCATACCCAGGTGGTCATGTAGGATTCGCAAAATTGTGGTATCTGATACTCCAACTAATGCAGATAACTGTTTTTTCTTCAAACGGGTGTCCTCCAGTACAATTTTTTCCACTTTTTCGACGATGTCTGATGTGGTGGCCTCAACTGGCCTTCCTGAGCGGGGGTCGTCTTCAATCGACTCCCGACCATGTTTAAAAAGACCATGCCATTTGTAAATCATTGATTTACTAGGGCACTGTTCCCCGTAAACAGTTTCCATTTCATTCAAAATGGTCTGAGCGTTCTTTCCTTGCTTGGTAAGGAATTTAATGACAGCACGGTGTTCAATTTTCTCCATAGTTTCAGTTTTCTTCCGGATTGACGTGTTTAGCAGGCGAGTGTTCGTAAACGAATGACGCAATAGGGCTGCAACTCCATTTATATACTAATTATGAGTCCCCAATTAGTATGACACTAAGCGAGCGCCCCTATCCCCACTCCATCCCCTCCATTCCACGAACTTTTGGACCTCCCCTCGTATATATATATATATATATATATATATATATATATATAATCTTAATCTAAAGTAATACAAAAGAAAATATTAATAACAGACTAAAAACTTAAAAGCTAAGCTATTTACTTTAGCATGTAAGTTAAAAAGTATTAAAGGCCTTTTAATTACTTCCCTATATTTAATTTACAATAGTAAAACAGTATTGTATAAAAAATATTCTTAAAACTTTAATAGCTAATGTCTTGTTCTTAGTACTCGTGTCACATAAAAAAAAATTGACGAAACATTTATCTTAGCAATTTATGTTTCTCAATCAGACTTCAAATGGAAAAATCCTTATTTTTAACACTTATTTGTTTTTTAATTTTGTTACTTGTTCTAGGTAAAGGAATTAGGAATCGTAGCGTACAATTGTTCCTGTCTTGCGACTGATCTAGCAAAGATATTTGAAGTGAGTATACAATTAGAGTTTAGCTAATTATAGTGGTGACTACTAAAATGTTGTAAATTTACGCTGGTTTTGATAATAGATTTTATTTTTAAATCATAAATTGATTGCGTAATTTTATGTCCAAGCGATGTGCGCCCTAGGTTCGAGTTTGTAATCTTTTTGATATCATAATATATCTGCTATATTATTTAGTAAAACTGCGGAGTAATGTAGAGAAGATATTTTTTTATAATAAATCTACAGGGATAATAATTTGATTAAATTTTCGTTTAAATGTTTAATTTAAAACCATTTAATAATCAGAGAAAATTTACATTGAAAATAGAACTGTTTTGAGGTTTTCGCGTTTCGACCGAGATAATTTACAATTAGCTTGATAAAGTTGTCGAAAAGTGTTATTAAAAAAAAATACACTAAGCTTACGTCACGTGGTTGCTGTCACGCGAGGCTTTGGGAGAGTTTTAAATAATTAATCGTAAAATAAATATATTAAAAAAATTGCAATAGTACTTTTTTCGCTCTCATCAAACCATGGTCATCGCGTGAACTATTCAGAGTTATTAAAGTTAGAAGATACCTAGATCAGTGTTGACCTGGTGGCTTCAGCGTGCGACTCACATCCCTGAGGTCGTAGGTTCGATCCCCGGCTGTGCACCAATGGACTTTCTTTCTATGTGCGCATTTAAAATTCGCTCGAACGGTGAAGGAAAACATCGTGAGGAAACCGGCTTGCCTTAGACCCAAAAAACTAGGGCGTACGTCAGGCACAGAAGGCTAATCACCAACTTGCCCATTAGATAAACAAATGATCATGAAACAGATACAGAAATCTGAGGCCCAGACCTAAAAAGGTTGTTACGCCATTGATTAATTAATTAATAGAAGATACCAAACGGGGTGCAAGAATTCTATATTAATATAATATATAATATAATTATTTAAGGGAATAAGTCCCGTTACTAATTCTTTGTGAAGTTAAATAATATTATCTGTTGATATTTATATAAAACTAGCATACTCGGCCAAGCGTTGCTGTGGCTAAGGTTTTTGTTATATTACATTACAGTAGTAAACTAATTAAGGGAAAATGTAGGAGAACACCAGTCATGGGGACCACCGTGCTTTTTTGAAAGTTATGCCATTAAATTGTAGCTTATGTGAAACGTTGGTACTTTCAACACAGCGCCATCTGTTAGAATTGTAATTGTCAAACAATAAACAAATAATTTTATTATAATATAATAATGCGGGTATAAATTGCGGGTAAAAATTAAAAGATATAAGCTATCCTATCTTTTAAGTTAGATCAAATTGCACACGGTGTGAAAATTTGATAGAAATCGGTTAAGTAGTTTAGGAGTCCATAGCGGACAAACAACGTGGCACGTAATTTATCTATATTAAGATTATCAAACAATATTAAATAGTCCTAAGAATCCTTGACATTATACAAAACCATATCGTTTCAGACTCGTAAACGTGAACACCTTTATCACTCATTCCACCTGTCGAGCAATATAAAACTGTTCAAAGCTTTATCTAATCACAGCCCTTGACCCGTTTATATATTAATGGTAAACATTTGCAAAATACATCGTTAAGCGCCGAAGTAAAGGCACACAAAGAACACTAATTACTCCATACAAAATCTCTAATGAAACTGTTTGCAACAAAGAAATGCCGCTTTTAATAAACTGCCACCTGTCCTGTTTTTATTGTCACTGGAATACTTGAGATAGGCCTTAATTAAAACTACTCGTACGGGATTAAAACAGCATTTTCATATATTTTGTTTAGGTGGCCGTGTTTTTTTATTCTTGACCTATATGCGAAATAAGAGTAGTTGATATCTCTATCGCTAGCGATATTGGAAGATCACTACATAGTATAAAATAAAGTCGCTTTCTCTGTCCCTATATCCCTATGTATGCTTAAATCTTTAAAACTACGCAACGGATTAATGAATAAATTAAAACTACTAAATCGATTTTAATAATTTTTTCATTCCCAATTTTTGTGAGTTTTGCCCTTTTTTTATTATATATAGTAATTATTGCCGAATAATCGGGTGAAACCAGTCCTGATTGCTATCAGTCTTAGACCATACATATAGAAAAGTAAAATGAGGTTTCAAAAGAAAAACAAGACTACGGAATATAGCATTGACGGAACATAACCCTCTGTTAAAATATTTATGAAAACAAAAGATACATTAGCAAATGAAAACGTATTTATTTAAATAGAGGTTTACATATGCACACATAAACAGCAATGTATCGTTAAGTTTTTTAATAAGGCATGTTTTCAAAGCCTTCGATCCAATTTATGCGGTTGATACTTCGTCTAACTTGGAATGACATTTACCCCTAAAGTTTGTGTAACTCGACAGCTAACTGGCACGAGGTTGTACGTTTCATTTTATAATAGAAATGATAAATTCACCTGCATTTGAGGGTAACAAAATATTATATAGTCTAATTTCAAAAGGGAACTGGATTTGATTTTATGAATGCACCGTTTTTTATATCGAAAATCAGTAGACTGATTATGAATATTTATTATAAAGCGCACCAATACAAAGACCCAACTCCGCATACGGACTCGCAATTAAATGTAAATTTACATTTACTACCATTTCGCAAGTCCAGGGCGTAGAGCGGGCAAGAAGAACTGGCAAGAAACTTTCCGCCACACTTTTTAATCGCTAAGTTTTAATCATACAAATTGTTTGAACTGGAGCAAATCAATCCCAAAGATTAGGATCATTTAAATATTCGTCAAATTTATAAAAAGCTTTATTGATTAATTTACGTTTAACGAGGGCTTTGAATTTATTTAGTGATAATTCCATTTCGCTTGGGAGTTTGTTGTAAAAACGTATACAATTTCCATATAAGGAGTGGTTTGTCTTCTGGAGCCTGGTTGGTCATACACTCAAATTGGTTCTGTTTCGAGTATTATACTGGTGAAAGTCACCATTTGTTCGTAACACAGAAGGCAAAACATCACGTTCACCAACCAGATAGATAGATCCAGTGAATGACTCATTATCCTCAAAACTATACACTGTCATAAGATGAGGTGCTGGATAGAAACCGGTGGAAACAGATATTCCGCTCCAGATGTTTCCTTGCTGACCACGACGCTCATGAGCTACCGATTGGAGAGAGAGAGAGAGATTACCAAGATATGAACATATTTAAAACATTAGATTGATCTTATATATATATAAAACGCCGCACATATCATCGAGGGCATCCATTCGTTCTAATTTACATAACTTTCCCTTTTTGTATGTATGGCCTTGGTTGGTTATTAATAAATTAAAAAGTAAACAATTTGACAGTAAACAGTTTTGTTATATGTCAAAGGGGTACAGTATTTTCGATTATAGTTCCGATTATGTTTTGTCGTTAGATTCAACATAAATCTAGTTAAAAAATTAAAAAATAAAGTTGATGGATAAGCTTTCTTTAGAACAATGAAATGCTGAGTGTAATAGTTTTTTAACAAAGATACAACATTATTACTCGTACTACGTTTATGTGCATCATGTAGTGTAAATTTAGTCAGAGAATTTACGATATAATAGTAAACAATGTTTGGTATTGTATAATATATTTGTCGGTGTTTAAAAATCCTAGAAAAGCTATCTTTATGTAACGCGTGCACAATCACAGCATATAAATAAAAATTTAATACTAAAAATAACTAATAATTATTAGTTAAAGCGCTCAATGTCGCGAACTGATCGATAACAGCTATTTCAATTGCATTCTCTTAATTTCAGCAAGCAAGTTGCTATCAAATTATATTTTATGAATAATAAATCGTTTTTTTTAAATACAGTCAAAATCTATTATACCAACATCGAAAGGAATACTCATAAAAACCGATAGTCGTAACAGCCGATGACGTTGTTATTAAGTACCTAATACATATTTATAAATTTCATCGTATTATTAAATAACAATAAATGTTTTTAAGAGCAATTTAGCTTAGTCATTAAGAGTTCTCAACCCAAAAGGCTTGTGTTCAAAATCGTGCAAATGGTCTTTATAATTGGGATTTATACATCGTGTGGGCGAATTGATATGCTTTATGCCTAGTTCTCGATGCACAGAAAGGGTTTGAAACGGACGCAAAAATATGTCAAAATTTAACTCTAATCATAATTTAAAGTATTCTAATTGTTTTTAGGTTTACTGGACTCTGGGAAGCCCAGATGCGGTGGTGCCTGACACATGGCCTAAGGAACTAAGTACCGAGATTAATATGGAGCATCCTATCAATATTTCGGATGACCAAAGCAACTATGGGGTGTTTATAACGGTAAGGATTCGTTAAATATTTTACAAGTGCAATAACTATTTGATTGTTTGTACTTTTTATTCCAGCGATATATTGTGTTGGCGCATTTTGTTCAAAAAAAAAAGTGCTGCGTTGCTTTGTCGGTTTTGGTTTACCCGTGATACGTCTTCGTGGCACTAGAAATAATAAGCTGCACTCGTAGTAATTTTTTTTCATAAGTCCCCTAGTTATTAGCACACGATAGAAGTCGGGTTAATGTTGTCGTCAATGCGACTATAAATTAAAAAAAGTTATACGATTGGGAACCCAAGATTCGGTCCCAAAAAATACAAAAAATCCATAACTACTGTCACAAAAATCCATAAATTCGGTTTTATTATACTCAATAAATTAGTGGCTATAAATAGACCGTTTATTGCTAAACTCACAAAATAAAACATACACAATCGGATTGCAAATCAGACCTTTATGTTATATTCACCATTCATTAACCTTTATATTTATTAACGATATATTTACATACTACCTACATAATTATTGTACCATAACTAATAATAATAAATAGGTATACTTATATCACTGACCACAATATTACTATCAGGTGACGTACAATATATATTACTTGAACTGTGTGAAAGTATTTACGGAGGTAAATTCATCATTTTAATTAGCATGAATTCATACTTATCTAGACATATTTTCCCCTACAAAACAATTGAATTAACATAACACTCTACAATATATAATATGGTGTACGTGAAAATAATCCGGTCCTTTTAGAGTATAAAAATGAATACGAAATAGTTCATGGCATTTATGATCACATAACTAAAATTTATTTCGTAATCCTACAGCTAACATAAATAAGATATACTAAAGATATATCCAAAAATTTAATACATAATATTTTCAAACTAACGAAAGGAAAAAGGCCATAAAAATTAAATACCTACATTTAACTAAGTAATACCTGATTCTGCTCTATCGTACGTACGTACGTATATCTGGGGTGTGCTCATGATGCAGGTGATTTAGCGCTATGGATATACTTAATTCTTTTTTAATTTCTTAATATTTAATGAATTATTACTGTGTCGTGATTAATAGTAGGTGAATCTTCACTGTCAAACCCTTTAAATCCGATGAAATGCCATATTTGTACCCGAAAAACGTAATTTTAACGTGTATGCTACGTGTATTCTGAGCATTTCTACGCAAGAACAGTAATATTTTAAGTCGTATTAGATGGTATATTTTTATGAAAAGTGAATAAGGTAATCCAGATAATGTACGATGCTCTCACGATAACAGAAACACATCTCCAGGGAACACACTCGTTTTATCGTCGAGAATGTTAGCGGGGTCTGCTAATAAAGTTGGATGACATGTGATACGAAAAATATCTTGGTTCGAGTATAAAACAAAATAGAAAGTTCAAAATCGGGTTTTTCTTACAATAATTATAGCTAATATAAACAATATTTATTATATAATATAATAAAGAATAATTATAAAATATAATATAACTTGCAGACCGGCCAAGCGTTGCTGTGGCTAAGGTTTTTGTTATATTACATAGTAGTAAACTATTCAAGCGAAACGGCAGGAGAACACCAGTCATGGGGACCACCTTGCTTTATTGGTGGTTATGCCATTAAATTGTAGCTTATGTGAAACGTTGGTATTTTCAACACAGCGCCATCTGTTAGAATTGTGACTATTAAATAATAAACAAATATTTTGCAATAAAATAATATTGCGGGTATAAATTGAGATGTATCCTATCTTTTAAGTTAGATCAAACTGCACACGGTGTGCAAATTTGATTGATATCGGTTCGGTAGTTTAGGAGTCCATAGCGGACAAACAACGTGACACGTAATTCATATATATTAAGATTATTGCTCGAATAAATTTATCTTGCTTTTTGTATAACAAAAATGAGCGGAAAAAAATAGATTTTTAGACTTAGCAAATTCTGCCAAAATTTATTTTTCATTAAAGTAGCCAAGAAACTTATCTTTGTTATTCCATATAATAAAAGGAAGGCTCTACCTTATCTATAGACCATAGCAAATATAAACATTCAAGTAGGTATAAGGCAGGTAGTATTACGGTTCGTTATGCTCGTCCCGTGAACATGATATCGCAAACCTCGCTATTACAAAATTCAATTTTCTTTGCCTTTAGCCAGTGTATTTTCTTTATATCTCGGAAAAACCGTAGGAAAATATTTTTTTCTTTTAGACGTTTAACTATAATTTTTTGTTTAAGGCACAAGTTTATAGTCCCGATTGATATTGTTAGATAATTTTCATAGTGTCACGCTGCCAAGTGAATAGCTATAGTCAATTTGTTATGTTATTCTCAACCAGGTCCGATTGCACGGCCTCAAGGTTGGGAATTTCATTCCACATTGCAAAACTTCATCAATCATCCAACCTTTTTACATGATAATAATAACCTATTTCAAATTCACGGAATTCAAATGACTATTCCGTGTTAGAAAAATCAATTATTAGTAAGTACATTTTTATTCTGAACAAGAAGTCGTAGTCAGAGACGTCTAATTAGATTCTGATTAGCGATAACGGTTCGTTACACATGTATACAGCACCAGTCCCCTATACACTTGTATTCATGAATATTCTGTGAGTTAGAGCCGTATGAATAGCGCAATATTCATGTGTCTTGAGAGTTCAGTTACGGGTTAAGTTGTGTAATATTTATCTTTCAATCTATATTTTTGATGCGATTTTATTAACCTGGTATACGTATTAAATATCTTGACACATTTATTATAAGTAAAATCGTTAAAACTAAACTAAAAAGTCGCCTATAAGCTATCGAGTTATATTTATTAAAAATTGAAGTCGACAAATTCTTAAATGTTGAAGATAGACGTTGTAAGGAACGTAAGTTTTAGTTTAAAACGCTGTATGACAAAGCAATGAATGGTGAGATTTTATCATTACTATCTATAAAATGTGTAATATGTTTATCTTGCTAGGATTTAGTATACTAATATGTTCATAAGTGTACATTGTGTTACCTATATGAATAAATGATTTTGACTTTGACTTGAATATAAAAGACGTTGTAATCAGCAAGTTCGTAGTTTCGGTCCTGCCCTTCAGGCGAATGACCACCCCGCGACCGCCCAAGCCGAGGTTCGAGTCTTACAGGAGACGCCCTTGCGCTAGTCGCGAGAAAAACGCCTATTCAGACCGAGCTACGCTCGCCAAAACAGCCCGAACTGAGCTGTAAGGGCCCTTAAGGCCAACAGCGAGACTCCATTCCAAAAAAAAGGTTGTAGTAAATTGTCTTAAAATATTACCCGGTAATTTCAAATCAATAGTGCAATTGCGTTGCGAATAGGGCAAAGAGCAAGAGATACTCCTTTGAAATCCAAAATAAAATTCTTTGTCCAACACAAATGTCAAAGTCAACTTTCTTTGTCACCTTACTGCTTAACAAAGAGCGTCAATTACGTGACAATCCGCTCTAGTCACTAGTTGGTGTTCAAGTTAATCTTAGTAAAAGGTTTAACTGCTGACTCATAACGTTTTGTTCTGCTTGACATTTGAATTGCCCTTGTACTTTTAATGCGACATGTTTAATGAGTAAAAGACCTAAGGGGATCTAAAAGCAATAGGCTTTTTGACAAGAAATTTAAAAACAATTCCAGATTATTAACGAGTTGAATTTAAATTCCGTAAAGTAGAAGTTATAACTTAAATATTTAGACATTCATAATTTCGAGAACCAGCCAAAAGGCAAGGATAGATGTAATTGTAAAGATTATGTAATAGTTATATAATACATATATATGTATGTAATAGTTAGACGTATAATATCTTGGACTTTAGACGATGTGTACGTACGCGATATAGGTATCTTCATTAGTATATTTTTCACACTTTTTGTTACTTTATCGAACATTCACACGGATCCCCTTATTGATAATATTTTATCACCTTTTATTCTAATGGTGTATATTTTTCAAATCGGTCCAGGAGCCAATGCAATGCAAAGAAACATATCTTTCTTCTTTTGTTTATGTATGATGTACATGATATATGGCCGCTCACGTTACGACACCTATGTAGTGAATTTTTGTACACCGTTTTTTTACCTAATATATTCTTAGAAGTAAACCTTGTTTATAGTAATGAGGTAGTTTGCGTTGTTTAATCGTTAAAGGCTTAACGGAACTCAGCGTGGGCGACTTGTTATGAATTATACTTCACATTTTAATTGTTGTTTTATTATTTGTCGCTTTATTATTTGTCACGTATATAACGTGATCGCAATCAATGTGCAATAAACTCACGTGATTGTGACGTGACGGCTTTGAAGACTTGGTTAAGCTTCTCTTTATAGAAAGATTTAAAAAAAAAGACTGAATTCTATCATCATTGTTAACACCATAGTTATTTATGGTTTTTATAATAGATTATAGATGATTTTATTTGTGGAGGAAGGAGGAATCCTCGACCAGTCTTACCACTCTACGGCTAAGGTGAAGACGTTCTTTATATCATTAGCGGTCGGAATAACTTCTTTACCTTAGTAATTTGTAAGCGCAGTTTTTTATTTTTTCTTTAAATGAACGAAAATGACTGAAATCGCCTATACTTGAATATTTTTGCGTAATATTCGGCTATTTGAATCGCATAATAATCGGTATTGGGCGGATGGCCAAATATTATATTCCTTGCAAGTTTTGGAAACTTGTGAACAATTATGAAATTGGGCTAGTGTGTAATTAAAAACAAATTGTCAATATCAATTACGTTAAAGAAAATATTTTAATCTACAATGGTCACACAGGCCAAGGCTTCCCTAATATGCATTGTTATTCACAAGATAACGTTTTATTTTCGATATTATTCCAAATAAAAAAATACAAGCAAACAATGATTCTTTTTATTCGTATATCGGAATGATGTTGTCATGAGCGACCTCTCGCCCCTTCCGGTCAAGGGAAGCTTATGGCATTTTAGACATTTGTTGCGAAGTATTATAAAAGAAGTTTTCTCAATAATGATACAGAAAGACTGTTTTTTAGAAGGATATTCTGTTCTTTCCCTTTGAATTATAATCAATAAATAAAAGTCGTAAATCGTAAATCGCAAATCCATTCGTATTGTATTATCGTTAATATTGTATTAATGGCTTTGCGATTTACTATCATTTTTAATCAAATAATTGACGCGAATGAAACGCAGGTTCAAGATTGTAGAAGTGTATACTAGTTAGTGATAGTACGATGTTTTCTCCGTATATGTATTTGGTAACTATAGTAATTTGAATTCTTCAGCTTCTGTTAAGTCAAAGCAAGTGTACTTATTTAGCTTTACAATATATGTTATTTTCAGAGTTCCCCACCGCCTTTTAGTCCAGCTGGTCGAACTAATGATGACGACGCGATTGTTAACATCATTCACTCGGCGGAGGAATTCGTTTATATATCTGTTATGGACTACGCTCCGGCGTTTGAGTTTACGCCGCAACCAAAGTAAGAAACTATATTATAATGCTCCTCAGCATAATGCTGAGCCAGGGCCCGTTACAACCACAAACACACATCCATTACACACTTAAAGTGTACCTTATTCTTAAAAAAAATGTTATATTTCCTTCTTATTTTATTTTATTATTTTGTGTGTTTCGTTAGTGATACTTGTTATGTCTATGTCTTATAATAAATGTCCGTATTGTCCAGAATTCAGCGCCAAAATAAAATAGAGTTTCAACCAATTTCTTCTTTGTTTTTGAGAAAATGGTCTCGTCTTTCCATAAACGCACAAATTTTGTCATTGAGTCTTTGTTCGTCTGGCGTTTTCGCATTTCGTTTTCGCTTCCCCTGCTTATCAGGCAACCAAGATATATAAACTCACTTGCTATCTCCCGATGTTTCAGTTCACCAGTGCCAAATCCTCAATTTGGTTTTGGATGTGTAACATATTACATCCAAATCTCGTTGCTAACTAAACAGACTAACAATACATAAGATATTTGTTAGTAGAATAATTCTCATTTTCAGATACTGGCCAAAAATCGACGACGCATTGCGAGCAGCGGCTTTAGATCGTCACGTCCGCGTGCGCATGTTGATAAGCTGGTGGCGCCACTCCTCGCCCGCCGAAGAACATTATTTACGCTCTCTGGCTGCGCTTAACCAGGCCTTGCCGCATCTTGATATTCAAGTGGTAAGATTTTATAGTTTAATTTACTATTATTTTATTTGATAAACAATTTTGTTGATTCTCACAGACGAGGGAATAGACACTTAATTGGAAAAGAAATAACTTCTTTCCATGATTTTTGAATTATTTTTTTCGTTAATATTTATTATTAACCATAGTTTGAAAGTTTAATTCGGACTCCCAGCAAAGCAAAATTTTCGGAAAGTATTCTCAAAACTGCAGTTTTCTCTAAAAAAATATTAATAAATAAAAACCTTTCAGCGCCGTTTCATAGTGCCATCTACCCCGGACCAAGACAAGATTCCATACGCGCGAGTGAACCACAACAAATATATGGTGACAGACAAAACAGCGTATATAGGAACGTCGAATTGGTCAGCCGATTATTTCGTTGACACTGCGGGGGTGGCTTTTGTATACAAACCGGAAATGGAAAATAAAGTTAGAAATGGCAGCGACATCCGGCGAGATTTACAGGAACTATTCGAGAGGGATTGGACGTCTCCTTATGCGGTACCTTTGAGGAATTTATAGCGATAAAAATGTTATTTTTTTTAATTTGTGTCAATCGTTCATTCTGCGGAAAGTGCGTTCTAGTAATATTTTTATTAGAAGTTACAAGTCCAGAAATGTGTGGATTTTTCAAAAACTAGTGATTTGATTTTGATGAAACTTGGAGTGTTCCCGAAGTATAGAACATCTCGATTTGACCTTTACCTAACTAAAATTATCGGATAACCTTTTCTAAGTCGTTTAAAAAATATCAATAATATACCTCAACCAAAACCAATATTGAGAATCTAAATATATGAGTAAGAATAGATTTGATTTTAAGAGTAAAAGTCGCTGCCGGGATGACGTCACAGTATGGATTGTAATTTTATTTTATTTAAGTATTCATACATTCCCAAGAAACTTCACTACCGGATGACAAAGCGTTTATCACGATTCTTAACAATTGTAAGCATGGTCACGTGCGTCATCTATGACCATGCCGCTCATGAGATGGGACTTAAAAGTCGTAATTGTTAAATCATGCTCAATCCGATAGTATTTCTTTTGAATGTTAACAAAACCTGCCAATTTGAATTCCGAATGTTTAATATTTAGAAATGCGTTATTGAAATTACGTTTAAATTTTAAGCATGTATGAACTTTGTAGGATGAAATTATTGTGAATTAGAATTTTAATAAAACCGCTCAATTTCCTGTTGCTTTATAAATATGAGCAATAATATGATTAAAAATTAAGAATATTGCGAAAATTATGTAAATAAACTTAAGTAAGCGTGCCTTTCTTTTAGAATTCTTGTAGAGAGTAGATTTTTTATCCCTTCTATAGAAATAAATGAATTTGTTTTATATTATATTATTTATTTGTTCATAGGTTAAATTTTGTGTTTAAAAATATTTATGATTCAAAACGGTACCAAAATATTTATATTTTTAAGGTCAAAAATTAATATGGGTAAACCCACAAAGTATAGAAATCTGTTGGATTAAGGTTAAATAAATTCTTTACTAAATTAAATGTTTGTTTATTTCTTATATACTAAAATTAAGGTTATTTCGTCAATAACGTTTATATAAAAAATCAATATAGTAGCTTACTTAATTATTGATTGCAAAAGTTAATGTTGCTATATTAAAAAACTATTTTTTTTACTAAAATTTCAAAGAGGCGCTTCGCTTTGACTAAGCTTCAGAACAATATTAGCTACGTGGATAATTCAGGGATTCTCGAAGTATATGAGTTGTTTGCGGCATTAGGGTTGATTCTTAGACAGAACGTAATTATACCCTTAAACAAGCCAGCAGTTTTAGAAGGTCAGCAAGGCTCTCATCGCATTTAGGGTCGTCCTTCGCACCGTTTACCTTTTGGTTCTTTCCATAATGTGTCTCGTTTTGTCCATCTTCAAGTCAAGCAACGTGTCCAGCTCATTTCCATTTGAAATTTTTGGCACACTTGACTGTATCTGTGGCTTTTGTCAGACAACAGCCAGACAAAAGGATTCGTTTGATATCTAGTATACTGCGCTCAAAGCACCTCTGACAAATTGAAATTTAAAACTTAAGTGTAGGCGAAGCAAGGTAGGAAACAGCCTTGCAATTCTGTAACTCACTTTTCGAACTCACACAGCGGTTTTCGCACTGGCGGTCGCGCTCAAATCAGTCGTGCAGCAATCATTTTATGATTTAGCATTTTGATAAATAATAAACTACAAGCTTCCTCCTTATCAGATGTCAAAGACCTTGTGAATATCTCCTGCAGGCTCCAGTATTTCTTCCAGGTTCTCTTTTCGATTTCAAGATAAGAACTGTTTCTCTCGAAATTCATTTCTTCAACGAAACGAACTACTAAGTTCGTTTTACACCAAGAAGGACAGATATATATCTATCCTTTTTACATTCGTCATTAAATTTTCTCACGCCTTCTTCAATGGGCAAGTTAGTAGTTCGTGTTATGGAGATAATAAGACTAGAAAATTGTTTGTTGAGACAGGGTAGTAAGCTTATTGGTGTGTAATTTGCAATGTCATTCGAGTCTCATTTTATATATATATAAAAGAAAAATGGTCTTCGTTTGCGAGGCTCCTTCACGCCTAAACCACCTGATCGTATCGAATGAAACTACCACCATTCGATGCGAAATTTTTCCTAGATGGTTTATGGCTATTTATTTATATTCCAAAAATTTCAAACTCCAACGTTCCTTCATTTTTTTATTGCTGTTTTACTTTTATGAAAATTTATCCATACGGACTTCACCGCGGAAACATTCGGGGAGGCTTCCTAGAACCTCTAAACGTCAACATCTGTTAAAAACTCGATTTTCGAAATATTTCAATTTTCTTAGCGGGAAGTTAAAAAGAAGAATAATAGAAATATGAAAAAAAAAATTATTAAACATAAAATTTATTTTAATTCGTCCAGCAAAGCGGGCGCGAAACGGCTAGATATATGATAAAATTTAATTTAGTCTAACCATAGTGATGGGGTTTCTGTAGTTTATAAGATATTGTTGACACAATAGGTCGGTTCCTATTTTTCTCTCATGGTTATTACCTCTGTTAAGGTTCCTCTTCTCTGGATATCCCCCTCTAGGAATAAATAGCTGTACCTTTAAAATTTTAATATATGTTTTTTCAATTGGATTCTGTTCCGCATTTGAGTTCCAGCAATCCAGATGTTGTGTTCTCTTCTCTATCTCCTGTCTCTTTTTTGCTGGTAAAACTTGCTTATAAAACCTTAAGGTTGAATTAAGAATTTGATAGTCTGTTAATGAAATTATGTTTGCTTTTATTATCTATGGTGAAAAGATAGTTAAAAGTTTTGATTAGGAAGGTTACTGTAGCAAAAAAGTATGTTTCACCTTCGTAAAGATAGTCAATTCGAAGCTACTTAAAAATATAAACAGTTAAATGTATCAAATAAATTAACTGGAATAAAATTGTTTTGTTGAAAATTTTTCTGAGGAATTTTAAAGTGGGATCGTATTGAAAAGTATGAATAAAACATGTTTTCTAAAAAAGTAATCTTTATTTTAATACAATAATCAATTTCGTAGCCGAACTTCACATTAAATAACCTAACAAGTAGTAATTTAGGTTTAAACCGAAATTTAACGAAAAGTATCGTTTATTCATATTAATCAAAACATAATATAATCTTAAATCTAACCTTAATAATAACTTGGTTTTTCAACCAAAAATGTCTAAATTAAAAAGAAAATTACGTGTCATTAAAAAAGTTCATTATAATCTAAACAGCATCAAAGTAATTCCAAGCAGGATTACGATATTTAATCCATAATAACCAATATATGATATATTTACGGCCCTGGGGCTTCAGACAAAATCACTTTTCGATAGTTGTGACCCAGTAACGCCCAACGAATCAAATCACGTGACAAAGCGTGACATTCGTTTATCGTTAGTGGGTCACGACTGTCGAAAAGTGATTTTGTGTCGAGCCCCTGGTACGATAGCTCTCATCTGAACACTGGTACCAAGGGCCCGAGATCCAGATGACAGCGCTCGAATCTAGATTAGGTAGATACCACGCTTGGCCAATCCTTCAGGGTCTCCAAGATCATAGAATTCACATCATAAATCATCGTAAAATGCTCATTTTTATACGTTTATTAAGTAAGAAGAAAAAGGTAATTGTGCTACAATTAAAATAAAATTACACATTTAAGGAGATACTGAATTTCCCTTTAACACTTTACATTATATTTCCCGCATTTGACTTTTACTTGCGTAAGCGCACCGTGCTTTTTGTTAAAACTTATGTCAAACAAAATATTGTTTATTTAAATTTATAATATTATTACAGAATATACCAGCACTCATAATCGAATCAGAAATGGATAGAAAATAAGATTGTTAAAATAAAAAAATAAATAATAAGATACATTAAAAATATCAATATGAGTCCTGTTACATCCTGTATATTAAAAACCTACAAATAATTGTTCAGGAGTGTATTTCAAAGCCATTTTCGGATCAGTTTAATTGTTTTTAACATTAGATTTGATGCTTGCGTAAGGGCCATGGGACAGTTTTGCTGTTTGAGACCGGGCCACATAATGGGGCATGGAAAAGCCGTCAGGTTCATCTCTTTTGAGGCAAATTGGTAAGATTCTGTATCAACCAGAAACTATTATAGTTTCGCCTAGAATCGAACCTAGTACATGTAAGACATGTGAGGTAGCCACTAAGCCACGTATGTCTAAAAAGTTTCTTAAAACGGTATTAATTCAAAATGCGTCAATTCATTTAATCATTGACATAGAAGCGAGTTACATAACGTCTTAACCGCCATTCATAAATAGTACTGCAGTGATTGATTTATGACCTTTCGTACCCACTTGACGTAATTCCATATTTAAAAATTTGAACGCCCGTATCCACACTAAATTCTGTAAAACCAGTAATATTTTCAAATATTGTTTTCGAACTGGTTACGTGGTTCCATTTTTAAAATATTTTAGAAAATAATCTATCTCTCTCATACACCATCAGTCAAATTGTATTTTTACACTGTGACGAAAAGAGACAGACTGTTAAAACTGTACAATTAGACTGATTAAGTTTTTATGAATAAAGGAATAAATATTTGTCCATAGATCACTGTAAAATTTCCTTTAGGCGTGAGTAGCACTGTCTTCCACAAAGTCCCTGGCCTCTTCCTGAGTGACGCATTCCACGTGGGAGACTTTATTCCGGAATTTAACTCCGTAGAATTTGTGCGCGTGTTCCAACAATTCCGGACGGAAAGTGGTTGTGATGAATTGGGCGCTGGAAGACAGTTCGTGGATCATATTGGCTATCGCTTTCCTGTGTTGGGCGTCGAGGGCCTGAAAAATTATTTTGTAATTAGTATAGACACTATAAGTTTTGTATTATCTCTTTGATAGTATGGAATTTTTAATTTTTAACCGACATCAAAAAAGGTTAACAGTTTGACCTGTGTGTGATATTGTTGGAAACGAATATTTGAGCATGATCTCTATAGGCTTCCAAGAAAGTGCAAAATTTTGTCAGCGTATAATTTATGTTTGTCCACATTTTCCACAAAGAAATTAAGCAATCAATCCATGAGTTCAGCTACGCTTTATTGAAATTGGTTTAGTGGTTTTTGAGGTATAATTCTTAATAATACAGGCATGAGGCAGTCCTCGTATTTACGGCATGAAATACGCGACATAAATCGAAACGACGTAAGTCGAGACATATTTTTTCGTGTGTTTACATGTAAAACTCAAGGGTTCCACACGGTCTCGAAGTTAAACAAAAACTGCATTTATAACAAAGGATATACAGACTTTATTATCAAAAGTAAGTTCTTAAAATAATTATATATGCACTTATGAAATTGCTAGTTATTTTTGGTATTTGTGTGTTAATTATTTTAATAATAATTATAAAACTTTAATATGTAATCAAAATATGTAATGAGAAATATTAAATTAAACTTTTGGCTCAAAGAAACTATCAATTCTAGATAGCTTTCCTTCTTTCTACATACAAATCTTGATAACACTGATAGGCTGCACAATTTTTTTATTAACATTGAAACTTCTCTCAAAATTAGGATAATTTTTTTCAAAAATTTTCATAGCATTCTCGAAATTTCCACAAGGCAAGTGAATTCGCCTATGCCGAAAATCTAAACAAATGACGTATGCATGAAGAATAGTGTCAAAACATTGTTCGACGTAAGTCGAGGACTGCCTGTATATAATTCATAGTTAATTTTCATTTCCAACTGATAGGTTCTCGAATAACTTCTAAATCACCTTCATTGGTAAAAAGTACTTTTGCTAAAATATCTATTTTCCATACAAAAGATATATATTGTATCTTATTATATTTTATTTATATTTTGTTTATATTGTATCTAAAATACCTGATCGATCTCGTCGAATAGGTAAAACGGCGCGGGATCACACTTCTGTATGGCGAAGATGAGAGCCAAAGCAACGAGCGACTTCTGACCCCCCGATAGCTGATTCATCTCCCTCATATCGCCTTCGCCGCCCGTGAAGGACACACGTATACCCACACCGGTGAATTGTTCTGCATTTGCCCGCTGGAATATAATATTTTTTTATATGAACAGGTGCAGGAACTACTTACAATAAAACATAAGAAAATTAACTTATACTCTGATTTTTAATTCCGTAGAATTCTGACAGCTTTCATTTTTTAACAAGTCAGAGATGGTAAACCTTTTTCAATAACAATACGAGTTTGTTAGTGAATGTATCCATTTTATTAAGTGCGATGCTCCACATTAAAAGTGGTTTAACGGCGAGTGATAATTACGTCCCTTTTCATCACAAACAGTAAAAACGCACAAGTAAAGATAACATTTATTTCTTTAAAAAGGTTTACTAAACCTGGAAATAGGAGGCAGTGATGCGAGCTAAAGATATAATAAAGTAATTAAAGTTACTTCGATATTTGTTCGTGATATTGAAACTTTTTTAGTAGCAACACTTATGAAATGTCAGAATTCTACGGAATGAAAAATCAGAGTATAGGTATTTAATCCTTTTATTATAGAACAGCTTACGGGCAAGATTAACCGATGTTTAGTAAACCGCGTGGACACTCAAACTCTCAGGTTCGCAAATGCATTGCCGGCTCTCAAGAATTTCCAAAATGTGGGGTGCCGTAAAAAGTGCGTTAAAAACTCATTTAACTTGTGGAACGTCAGACAGACGTCGCGATGATACGGGTGGAATTTAACACTGCACCGAAATGTATACCATTTTGGAGATCGTTTCACGCTAAGACACGTATTTTATGACAATACACTAGAACTTATTGAGAAATGATCAAGTGACGAAGCGTTAATTATTTATTTATACTTTATTACCTTATACAAAAACATACATATAAAAAAATCAAATTAAAAAGCAGGTTACATAAGGCAACGGGCGGCCTTATCGCTAACAAGCTATTTCTTCCAGGCAACCCTAATGTGGAACAATAAGAAAGAAACACCTACAGAGGGTAAAGTACAAGAAGTGTATACATAATTAACAAAAAAAACTCAAAATAACTCGTAACTATAACTAAAATAAAGTAAAATCTAAAGAAATAATAAATAAAAATATGTATAAACAAAAGATTAACTGAGAAACAATAATTAATGTATATAAGTAGTAGCTAATTGGCATTTTAATTTACAATTCGTCATTTGAGATTTCAATAAATTATTTTTAGAATTTCTAAAAGGTAATTCGCCCTTCTCACTCCCTCTCAATCGCTCTCCCCCTTTTCTTCGACAAAAACGCTGCACATCTTTCACTTCAATAATTAAAAACACCAAATACCTCAGCAACCAAATCCGGTTGATCCTCAGTGGCCACCCTCATGATGAGGGAACCCCGACCGTGTGGCACCAGCTTCTTGAACACATCCGTGAAGTTCTTGCTCACTTGCTTGAACGTGAATTGGATTGCTTCTAGTTTGTGATGCTCCAGAGTCTCTATAAGCTCTCGGATCTTTTCGCCACTGAAATGAAAAATATTTAAATAGAATTTAAGTACTAGCTAAAGTTTTGAGCGAAACTTCTTTACGTCAAATCCACGTTTTTTAAGTCAAACTTAGCGGTCTCAACTCTGCATTTGAGTATAATTTCCTAGATTTTTAGTAATTTTAAGAAACTATCCAACATGTCTGTGTTGGGTTATATTCCTGACTAAGTTTTTTTTTTATCACAGCCGAGAATAATCTTTATTACTAAGTTTGGTCTCGTTATTAGGTGTTTCAAGATTTTAATTAGAAGACCAAATTTTGTATAAATAAAAGATAAATCAGTGGCGCTACAACCTATATGTCTGAACCTCAGATTTCTGTATATGTATCATCATCATTTGTCAATCTAATAGGCAAGTAGGTGATCAGCCTCCTGTACCTGACACACGCCGTCGACTTTTTGTGGCTGGTTTCCTCACGATGTTTTCCTTCAACGTTTGAGCGAATGTTAAATGCGCACATATAAAGAAAGTCCATTGGTGCCGGGGAGCCGGGAATCGAACCTACGACCTCAGGGATGAGTTTCGCACGTTAAAGCCACTAGGCCACCGCTGCTCTTGAAGAACAGTGAAGATTTTATACCACAATTAAAACAAATAAAAACTAATTGAATTCATTTTAAAGTTACGTTTAAAACGTAAAGAAATGAAATCACTTCCAAACAGAAAAAAATAATTAACAATTAGGTCTTTGTCAAAATTAAACATTATCTGTTCGGAAAGTACAGTCATGTCAAGTTCAGTCCAATTTAGTACACTGCACATTATACTAATTACTTTGAATAAGTATAAATTAGATTTGAATATTATACGCCTAACACAATGGACGTAAAACTGTTGCTATACATTAGTGTCACCATGACACTCATTAAACAAGTCCAGTTATTTAAAATACCATTTATAGGAGATATTTTTGGTGGAACTAATTTTGATACTAGCAACACCACAGACGACGCCTTCTTAAATATATCACAATTGGTTCAAAAATATGCATTTCAATTCGAAGAGCATACCGTTACCACTGAGGATGGCTACATTTTGGCACTTCATAGATTGCAGAGCACGAAGAAAAATGGAATTCCAGTACTTTTGATGCACGGGATTTTGGATTCGGCGGATTGCTGGGTTTTACAAGGACCCAATAACTCCTTGGGATATATTTTGGCTAACGAAGGATTCGACGTATGGATGGGAAATGCTAGAGGAAACCAATATTCACTCTCACACGTAAACTTAACAAGCAACGATCGAATGTTCTGGAACTTTACATGGGAAGAAATTGGATTGTACGATCTGCCAGCATTTATTGACTATATTTTAAATAAGACGGACTCCCAAGCACTTTACTACGTCGGCCATTCACAAGGCACGACAAGTTTTTATGTCATGAACGCCTTACGCCCCGAGTACAATAAAAAGATAAAATTAATGTTCTCCCTATCACCAATAGCTTGGATGAAGAATATAGAGAATTCAATACTCAAATTCATATCAAAGTTCGTCAGTTATTCGCCCGCGTTCAACGTATTCACGCCGAGTAAGGAGTTTTTCGTTAAAGTATCAAAATTCTGCACTCTATTCTTTAACAATTGCGACAATTTGATGAATCTGTTTTCTGGTAGCGAGAATAGCTTAGTTGATAAATCAATGTTGCCAGTAATCTACGGCCATTACCCGTCAACTTCTTCCACTCTGCAGTTCATTCACTACGGTCAATTGATCAACTCTGGTCGGTTTTGTAGATTTGATTTTGGCGACAAAAATATATTAAAATACGGTGACATATTGCCTCCTAATTATGATTTAAGTAACGTGGTAGTTCCAATCGTATTATTCTATAGCAATAATGACTGGTTGTCCAATTTACTGGATGTGGAAACTTTGAGCGAACATTTGCCGCTGTCTGAGAAATATTTCGTTGAGAACTTTAATCATATTGATTATTTATACGCGAAGATCGCGAAAGACAAAGTATATTGGAATATATTAAAACACATCTTCGAATTAGAGAAATCTTATCTGTGATAAGCGATCTTTTATAACTTTTACAGTAAATAATAAAATTTAGTGTCACGCGATAGTGTATTTAAAAAAAGAGTGCGTGTACTTATGTACGCGCGTAAGAAGTTATACTTCTTTGGCTTTCTTTATTTTTTTAAAATATAATTAATTAATAATTAATATTTAACGTAAACAATTTAATAATATTTAATATATTATTCAATTATTAATTAATATTAATAACAATTATTATTATTTATCATTTTATTATATTATTCATTCAATTTAATAACTTGGTATGTTTCATAACCTTTTCACTAAGTAACAATAGGTCTTTGTGAAAAAGCATTGCTAAATTTCTTTGAAAAAATAATTAAAACTCCTTTATTTGTTTAAAAGGTAAATGTCATTATGGTCATTCAAAATTCTTGGCATAGCTGCTAACTTCACGCATATTCTATTTCTTTTTACTTGTAGATTGTCTTATTTCCATCTTGCTCGCGCACGCTATAATCACACTGACAACTTTCTGTCTCAGGTGCGCGCGCATCGTAAAATTTCACTCTCATCAATTTTTCATAACGCGCCTAAAGAAGTATAACTTTAAAAATATGTACTCTTGTATATTATTTTTTTACTGTATATGAATACAGTGTTGGTCTGGTTTCGGCGTGCGACTCTTTACCTTTAGGTTTGATTTCGATTCTATGTAATCTAGATTTAACTCTTGAATGGTGAAGAAGAATTATAGCGAAGAAACCGATTCGACGAAGACCGACCGTCTTAGATTTAAAAAGTCGTGTTTCAGGCACAGCAGGCTTATCACCTACGTGCATATTACATATTGAAAATGACCATGAAACAGATACAGAAATCTGAGGCCCAGACCCAAAAAAATATAAATTGTGAAGTACAAGGCACCAATAGCAACCAATAGCTATTTCGTTAAAAGAATACAAAAAACAGATTAAATAAAGATAAAAAATAATTACTACATTTATTGAAAAAGCCCTCACCCAACGTCAAGTTCCTCTTTTCTTTTGTACAACTTCTCTTTATGCTCTGAGAAACTGATGAATTGATCCAAGGCCTTCTTGTTCACGTGATTGTACTTCTTTAAGTGCTGGTTCGCCTTTTCGAGTTCTTTGAATAACTGAAATAATTTATTCATACATTTGCTTTAATAACGAATGGAAAGATTACGAATTCCTATATTTAATGAGAAATATATTTTTTTGACATACAAGCTTTTATATCGGTGTCTCTTCTATAGATTATTATGTTTCAGTGTTGCCAGCATCGCCTTTTTTAATAAAATACGAGTCCAACTTTGATCTTGAACTCTTTAAAATATAGAATATGTACTAGCAGACTCGGCCAAGCGTTGCTGTGGCTTAGGTTTTTGTTATATTACTCGTACATAGTAGTAAACTATTCAAGGGAAATGGTAGAACACCAGTCATGGAGACCACCATAATTTTTTGGTGGTTATTCCATTAAATTGTAGCTTATGTGAAACGTTGGTACTTTCAACACAGCGCCATCTGTTAGATTTGTAACTGTCAAATAATAAACAAATAATTTGCAATAAATTAAGATGTTAGGTATCCTATCTTTTAAGTTAGATCAAACTAAACACAGTGTGCAAATTTGATTGAAATCGGTTCGGTAGTATTAGGAGTACATAGCGGACAAACAACGTGACGCTTAATTTATATATTATAATATGTATATTGGCTATTTTACTAAAACTAATCGATAGATTTTTTTGAAATTTTCATCGTAATTGAATATTAGATTGTAACACTAGAAATTTATATGGTACTAGTGGACCCCACAGACGTTGTCCTGCATGATATTTAAAGCGATTAGGATATTAAGCAAAGTATGAAAGTACCGGCCCCCCGCCCCCCCCCCCGGGGGGTTTTTTTAAAAAAAACCCCCCCCCCCCCCCCCCCCCCAAAAAAAAAAAATAAAAAACAACAAGGGGGGTGGGGGGGGGGGGGAGACCCCCCCCCCCCCCCCAAAAAAAAAAAAAAATTAATGTGGTGTAGTATAATAAATAAAAGACTTTTGTGATGCGATAAAACTTTTGCCTTGGAAGGCATACATTGCAAAATTAATCAGCGAAAACTGAAAAAACGTTTTTATCTCGCCTGATTAAAAACTTTTTTTTAATGTGGTCATGTTTTTTCAATAACACGAAAAGAAATACCTGTTTAAGCGACATCTTCTCATACTTGGTGTGCAACTCCGGCGCATTGGGCAATGTTCCGAGTGCGGCGATCTTATCTAAGGACTCTTGAATTTTCTCCTGAAGCAACACTTCCTTGGATGCCATCTTCTCTAGACCTTTCGAATCTTCCTCCATCTTGTCTTGAGCCTCTTTTTCCTATTTTTTTACAACCATTTCCGATTATTTATAACTGACTATAGAACAAATACTTTAAAAAATTAAATATTTATAATTTCATCAACCTGCCAAAACGCTTCTGTAATCGTACTATGCTTGTAAACACGAGGGCCAAGGAGGCTCACCTGATGTTAAGTGACACCGCCCATCGTCAATGCCAGTGGGCTCGCGAGTGCGTTACCGGCCTTTTTATATACCAAACAATCATTATTAAATTACATAAATACTCAATTTTTTTTGTCAAAATCAGTCTCCGACGTACGCACAACGTACCTAGTGAGAGTCTAAGTGCGGAAACTGAGTCCACAAAAATATAACAGTCTCCGACGACATAATTTTCCAAGGTAGTATTAGGATTAGATAGGTGAAGCCTACTTTATCGTCGTCTACTAATCTGTGACCGTTTTGTGTCACGTGACTGACATATAAAAAATAATATTATTAATTATGGAATTTTATAAATTAATGTCTATTTTCAAAACCCTTTTAAAGTTGTCATATACAGATTACTATCAGATTTTTTTCATACTATCAAACTGCCTATTATAAGATTTCCTCACCTTATTCCTCCACTTATCCAACTCCAACTTGAGCGCCTTCTCATTTTTGACGGCAGCTTGAACTTTTCTTTCAACTTCTTCCATTTCTTTGTTAATCTGTTTGATTCTCTTTTCCGCCGCATTTAGATCAGACTTGCTATTCTGTAATCTTCGTTTGCGATCCTCTACCGATATCTCTTGAAGGGCTTGCACTAACTCGTCTTTACGTCTGAAAAATACATCAAAATCGTTAAAAAAAGAAAAGTATTTGTATTATATTGTATTGTTTAAAAAACGATGTAGGACCGCCCTTGGGACTACATATATTATTTTTGGCAAACGGGCTCATGTGATGTTAAGTGAACGCGACTGACTGCGCACGCTTATTGTTATTCCCTTAAATTCTTAAATAAGTGTTAATAAATAATACCGATAATCATTTATAAACTGGATAAAACCTCACCGTATTAAATTGTTGGTGAGCAAATTCTCTAGTTTATTTTTCGTTGCCTCCAAATTCATTCTCTGACTGAACGCCTCCTTGTTTTCTTGCGTGAGCCGACGGATGGCGTCATTCAACTCGTCCACCTTGCCTTGGTCGGCCGTCGACAGCTGTTCCATTAATTCCTAAAACACGAATTATTTATAATTAAAATTATATATGACAACTAGCAGACCGGCCAAGCGTTGCTGTGGCTAAGGTTTTAGTTATATTACATAGTAGTAACCTATTCAAGGGAAACGGTAGGAGAACACCAGTCATGGGGACCACCATGCTTTCTTGGTGGTTATGCCATTAAATTGTAGCTTATGTGAAACGTTGGTACTTTCAACACAGCGCCATCTGTTAGAATTGTGACTATCAAATAATAAACAAACATTTTGCAATACAATAATATTGCGGGTATAAATTGAGATGTAAGCTACCCTATCTTTTAAGTTAGATCAAACTGCACACGGTGTGCAAATTTGAATGAAATCGGTTCGGTAGTTTAGGAGTCCATAGCGGACCAACAACGTGACACTTAATTTATATATATTAAGATTATTTAAACTTAAAATGTTTGAAGTGAAATATATAGCAACTGCCTTATACAACTAAAAGTGATTGTTTAGGATAGAATTGTATCAAGAATCGAATCTACGATCTTTTAGGTCTGATTTCTGTATCTATTTCGTGATCATTTGTTTTATCTAAGAGGCAAGTAGGTAATCAGCCTCTTTGCCTGACACAAGCCGGCGACATTTTGGATTTAAGCATGTTGGTTTCCTCATGATGTTAAGTGTTAATTGCGCACGTAGACAGATAGTCAATTTGTGCACAGCCAGGGAACGAACCTACGACCTCGCACACTAAAACAAAAACTGTTCTGTTGTGTTTTGTTTAATTACAGATGCATTATAGAATAACTTACAAAACGTAGTATCGCAAATGATATATAATAATTTACGATACTTTTGACTATCTACATGATAAGAACGTATTCAATTATTTTAGTAGTAAAAAAACGTAAATCTTTAATAAGCATTCTTCATACATAGTTTCAGTGTCTTCATCTTAGCCAGTAAATGTTACATTAATACAATTTTAAATAAAATGTGTAAAATGTTAATTATTTGTATCATTTACGTAATCGGCTAATTAGTTGTCTAAGCCTCAGGATGTAACAAGAACATTACTTCACCACCAAGTATTCCCCACAGTAAGGATTTCACAGAAATGTCTTTATCGAAATATTGATATTGCTTCAAAGCTTTTGGTTCAAGAATAATATTTGGAAGAGATTGTGGAGTACATGATTTAAATAAAATCGAGGTATAGATGGAGAATTCCACAAAATAAGAAATAAGGATATATCAGAATTTTTTTTGAGTATACCAGAATGAGTATTGAAACCTTCGATTATATTCTTATGAATATTCAACCAGAATTGGAGAAAAAAGTTGATGCAAATAGAATTTTAAGTGCCGCTGAAAAATTGTTATAGCATTAAGATATATCAAATTTATTCTGTGGATGGCCAGACTTCCAAATAGCTGGTCTTGCCAGTATTTCAGTAATAAAAAACTCTGTATTCATTTTTCGCCCGAAAACGACTAAACTTATTTAATCTCTGCTCTATTCGCTCGATGCCCTACTCCGTGGCTTGGTACTGATTCATCCTTTGTTTCGCTCGCCCGCCCACGCCAGTCCGCGCGGTACATTTCGCCGGTCGCCGTTGCGCGTGGCTTGATTAGTACATTGCTATGAGTTTATGTCAGTCCCTAGACGCTTCGCCGTTCGCACCGCGCGAATATTCGCATTGGCGAATGTCCCGTGGCCAGGCTGTTAGTGCATTTTAAAGATTGTTTACAAAAGTTGTATAAAGTTCGGCTCGAGAAATGACATTGAGGGTGAAAGAGTTCTGTGAAGCGGAACAAAAGAATCAAGGTGTTTTAATACCACTAAACAATGTTCAGAAGAGAATAGCCGCCATAACAGGTTCTTTAGAGTTGCCACATAATAACTTTTTGCTGTATTGATGGGACTTTTATGATAAAAATTCATTTTGCGACAAATTTGAACAAATACATAACGAATGAAACTAGGTAACTGAAATTAAAACATATATTACAGTACATACGCATTGTAAACTTAAAGTTACTATTTTTTTTAATTGTTCATTATTTAATTGCAGGTGTGTCAGAGAGAACTGTAACAAGAATTACAAAAGAAGGTATAACAGCGGCGAGTACTTCGAAAAATATTGTCACCCCGGGGAAGAGTCGCCCGCATCCGAAATAGTATCAATATAAAAAAGAACAATTATATCTACGGCTGGTGATACTGAAACAGAATCTGATCTGTTTCTAACCACTCGTCAGACAGTGATGTTTTTATGGCCGCTGATCACAATTATTCAATAAAACTCTGAATAAAACAACAACAACAACAACTTGTAATGCTTTTCTTTACCCTATTTTCTCATCTTTTCCCTGTAAGTAAACACCGCTAGTATAAGTAAATAAAAATATACTTTTTACATAACAGAAATATTGTTTCATCGAAGTATGCAGAAAATAGTATAATAGTAAATAGTATTATAAATAAATATAAATGTAAAATAGGTAAATTTTTTAGTCATAAATGGCAACATTACGTCACGCGATTACAGCGCCGCGTCTGGGGGACTTCTTTTGTAAAAAGGACTCTAGTATATATTGCATTCATTTGTCATTTGTTTTTGTGAATTGGCGGCAAATCTAAAACTCTTGTTAAACGTGAAAATGAACCTAACGCGAGAAAATTTTCGGTCAATGATTTATTATGACTTTCGATGTGGGCATAAATATGAGTGTGGTAATAAATATGAGTTTTAAACATTTCAACAGTTTCTTGAAATAAAACGTTCTATATCATATAAAAGATAATTTTGAATCAAACATGATCAAACATAAATGTTACTATAAGAACGCACCATGGTCATGGTCTGAGAAGCCAAGAAACACAGCAATCACCTTTTGCTGTTCGCTAAGTTACAAATATAGAAAAACTATCTTAGTATTATGATACAGTATTTATTTACGTAATTAGCTCTGTTTTTCCTTGTTAGACGAGTTAATTTGCTTTATATTCAAAGTGCGCATTTGTGTAATTTTCATGATTTTTTTAAATATTTTCTTTTGCAATATACGGTAATAGTGTTACGTCTCCGAACATTTAACATATAAATCCTTATCTATGTTTATCAAAAGCAAATATTCTTGAGAAGATAGATAAACATAGTATAATGAATTATTTTAATATTTAAACGGCGAATGTTCCTGTAGTAAATTTATTATTAGGTTTAAATTATAGTTAGACGTATTCGTAAGTATTGACTCTGGATGTTAGCCTTATAGCTTAGGTTCTGTACTTAATCGTTTGTTAGATATAATTATTGTGATTATCTGAATGTTGCCGTGAGTCAATCTAGCCTATAGTAAAACTAGTTTACTAAGTTTGTTTATTCATATCATACTTATTATTCATAACGGACATTGCGCTGTGTACAATATGTACAAATAAAAACATAAAACCCGTCGGATCCATATAACACAGTTGTTTAATTCATAAAGTGTAAATTATATTTAAGCGGTCTGTCCAATTTCTTAACTATACAAAAAATAAACTAATATATAACTCTAGGATTTGTGCGAACAGATAATGTAATCGCACTTAAGGTTATATCTTACATCATTTTGAATGAAACACACGTGTTTCGTACAAAACTGTAAAAAGTTATATTTAATAATCTGTATTACTTGCAATGGCATCAGAAGATTTAATTGACGTCGTAATTGGAAAGTTGGGGTGGTACCAGGCTCTGCTTTTATTTCTTCTAATTTTTGGCCGTTCCCCCACCGAATTCCAATTAGTAAACGTGGTTTTCATTTTACCTAACCCAGAATATATTTGCCAAGGTGAAGAGAAAAATGTTACGAATCTTTGCCCGTGTGAGGATCCAGTGTTTGATACGAGTATAATGAGTTCTGTATCGAGCGAGTTTGATTTGATTTGTGAAAGGAAACATTTGGCAAGTCTAGGCCAGTCCATGCTGCAAGTGGGAATATTGTTTGGCAGCGTGTTGTATGGATATATTTCAGACCGGTAAGATTCACGTTTAAAGAGAAAATCAAATTGTGATTGAAAATTTCAGTAGTAGGATCTGATCTTGTTTTAATATAATATGTGATGTCTGACTCAAAATTGTTTAAAATTTAATCATTTTTGTAAAATATAGTATAAACCATAGATTTATATCGTTAGATAGGCCCTTACAGCAGTGAGACCGCGCCGTGTTGTTCCACAGTCGAAGTGAGTGAGCTCACTAACCTGGGATCAGTGCACCCCTTAAACACAGTGTTAGCCGGACGTGTTGTAAAGGACGTTTGCGAGCAGTTTAGTGTCACAAAATGCCATCGTGTGCCTTTCTAATGTGCAACAACAATTCTAGAAACTTTTATTTTTCCTTCCGCACTGTCTAAAATAACAAATTTAAATGGCGAGTGCACAAAAGAGAAAGTAGTGTTTGCAACTAATGTAGGAGAAAAAGAGATGACACTATTTTCTCAGTACATAGGTAATAACAACAGATTAGTACAATGGCAGAAACACGATTTTTTAACTACTCGTTATTGTGCGTGTGTCGGCCTTTTGTTAACGCACACATTCAAAAACAATGTCGCTCACAGTTTTTAGTGTCGGGGCCTATCTAACGATATAAATCTATGGTATAAACTCTATATAACAACACTCAAGGGACTGTGCCTATTTTGACGTTACCAACAGTTGCCGTTAAATGGAAAGACAAATCTGTATTAGAAAAAGAAAGTTTATTTCAGACTAGTGATAGTAATTTTATAAAAACAATTGGTATTTGAACGCTTTTTTTTTTTTATTCTAAAAAACGGATTCTTGGAAAGTTCGGTACCTATGACGAGTACCGACAGTCGAGTTTATTTCTCGGTAAGACAATAAAGCGACAAAACAATACACAGCTCGGCAGTTTTAACTAATTTTGGTTAAAACTTAAAAAGTACTTTTTAGTATTTAATTGTTATCGTTATTGAGGATAGGTGTAATGCTATGTAGAGTGTAGCTTATATCATTTATATGTAAGCAACCAAAGCCGAGTGATTTCAGTTACATGGAGTTTACAATGTATATGTACAAATTTCAAATATTTACTACGCTGTCCACATTGTATATAGGCCCAGCGAAATAATGTTATATTTAGAATTATTTTAGATTTGGCCGCAAAACATCGTGCCTCCTATCTCTGACAACTGAAATTATCTTTGTGGCTTTATCAGCCGCGGTGACAGAATTTTGGATGTTTGCAATCTGCCGATTTTTAATCGGTGCATCGGTGGGTGGTACTATGCTTTGCACCTACGTTATGGTCATAGAACTGACGGGAACGTCATTCAGACCCTTGATACCAGGATTGGCAGAGGCGGCTTTTGTTATATGTTATATGGCACTACCGGTTATAGCCTATTTCTTGAGCAATTGGAAGCATTTGCAACTCGCAACGTCATTGCCTTGGTTGTTTGTTGCGGCCTATTATTTCGTAATACCTGAATCACCACGATGGTTGATTACTATGGGAAGAAAGAAAGAGGCAACTGCGGTTTTAATTAATATGGCGAAGAGGTAAGTATATCATTAAATAAATAAATAAGTGGCGCTACCTCTTTAGGTCTTAGCCTCAGATTTCTGAATCTGTTTCATGATCATTTTTAAATCTAATAGGCAATAGGTGATCAGCGTCCAGAGCCTGACACACGCCGTCGACTTTTTGGGTCTAAGACATGTCGGTTTCCTCACGATGTTTTCCTTCACAGTTCGAGAAACCTCAGAACCTACGACCTCAGGTATGAGAGTCGCACGCTGAAGCCACTAGGCCAACACTGCTCTCATATCAAGTATATCATTACCATATAATATGTATACAGAGCAATCTCTGTAACCTTTTTTTATATAACAGGAGCAAACGGGCTCACTTTTTGCCGCGCACTCCCACTATGGGCAACTACCCATATAAGTATTTCCGAACCAATTCGACTTAGGTTTCTTCACGAAAAGAGCGTACCAATTCTTAAAAGGGTCGGTATTACTTAACAGTACATGGGAAAAGTAATGTCTAAGTAAACTGACTGACTGAAGAGTGGGGAAAGTTTATTGCTAGTTCTTCTCTACTCTTAAATGTAAAATTAGAAGCATTTAATGTTTATTTCTTTTTTGACGTTCATAAGTGTACATTGTGTCTTGGGGCCCGCCGGGGGGGGCCCGGGGGGCGGGGGGCCGGGGGGGGGGGGGGGGGGGGGGGGGGGGGGGGGGGGGGCCCCCCCCCCCCCCCCCGGCCCCCCCCCCCCGGGCCCCGCCGGGGGGGGCGCCCCGCCCCCCCCCCCCCCCCCCCCCCCCCCCCCCCCCCCCCCCCCCCCGGGCCCCCCCCGCCCCCCCCCCCCCCCCCCCCCCCCCCCCCCCCCCCCCCCCCCGGGGGGCCCCCCCCGGGTTCCCCCCCCCCCCCGGCGGGGTGTGTTTCGCCGCCGCCCAACCCCCCCCCCCCACCCCCCCCCCCCCCTCCCCCCCCCCCCCCCCCCCCCCCCCCCCCCCCCCCCCCCCCCCCCCCCCCCCCCCCGGCTCCCCCCGCCCGCCCCCCGGCCGCCCCCCCCCCGCCCCGGCCGGGCCCCCGCCCCCCCCCCCCCCCCCCCCCCCCCCCCCCCCCCCCCCCCCCCCCCCCCCCCCCCCCCCCCCCCCCCCCCCCCCCCCCCCTTCCCTTCCCCCCCCCTTTCCCCCCCCCCCCCCCCCCCCCCCCCCCCCCCGCCCGCCCCCCTTTTTCCCCCCCCCCCCCCCCCCCCCCCCCCCCCCCCCCCCCCCCCTCTCCCCCCCCCGCCCCCCCCCCCCCCGCCCCCCCCCCCCCCCCCCCCCCCCCGCGCCGCCCCCCTCGCGGCCTTTCTCTCGCCTTTTCTCGGCCCGGGCGGGGGGGCTTGGGGGGGGGGGGTCCCCTGGTCCCCGCTACTATGGTAGGGGCCCCCCCCGTTCTAAAGGGGTTTTTCCCCGGGGGGGGGGGGGCCCCTTGGGGGTTCGATTCTTTTTTATAAAAAAAAAAAAAATTTTTTTTTTTTTTTTCCTCCCCCTGGGGGGGGGGGGGGGGGGTTTTTTTTTTTTTTTTTTAAATTCCCTTTTCCCCCCCCCCCCCCCCCCCCGCCGTTTTTTTCCCCCCCCCCCCCCCCCTTTTTTTTTTTTTTTTTTTTTTTTTTTTTTTTTTTTTGGTGGGGGGGGGGGTTTTTTTTTTTTTTTTTTTTTTTTAATTTATTTTTTCCCCCCCCTTCCCCTTCTTTGTGTTTTTTCCCCCCCCCCCCCCCCCCCCCCCCCCCCCCCCCCCCCCCCCCCCCCCCCCCCCCCCCCCCCCCCCCCCCCCCCCCCCCCCCCCCCCCCCCTCCCCCCCCCCCCCCCCCCCTTTTTTTTTTTTTTTTTTTTTTTCTTTTCTTCTCCTCCCCCCCCCCCCCCCCCCCCCCCCCCTCCCCCCCCCCCCCCCCCCCCCCCCCCCCCCCCTCTCCCCCCCCCCCCCCCCCCCCCCCCCCCCCCCCCCCCCCCCCCCCCCCCCCCCCCCCCCCCCCCCCCCCCCCCCCTTTTTTCTTTTTTTTTTTTTTCTTTTTTTTCTCCCCCCCCCCCCCCCCCCCCCCCCCCCCCCCCCCCCCCTTTTTTTTTTTTTTTTTTTCTCCTCTCCCCCCCCCCCCCCCCCCTCCCCCTCTTCCCCCCCCCCCCCCCCCCCCCCCCCCCCCCCCCCCCCCCCCCCCCCCCCCCCCCCCCTCCCCCCCCCCCCCCCCCCCCCCCCCCCCCCCCCCCCCCCCCCCCCCCCCCCCCCCCCCCCCCCCCCCCCCCCCCCCCCCCCCCCCCCCCCCCCCCCCCCCCCCCCCCCCCCCCCCCCCCCCCCCCCCCCCCCCCTTCCCCCCCCCCCCCCCCCCCCCCCTCTTTTTTTTTTTTTTTTTTTTTTTTTTTTTTTTTTTTTTTTTTTTTTTTTTTTTTTTTCTTTTTCCTCCTCCCCCCCCCCCCCCCCCCCCCCCCCCCCCTTTTCTTCTCTTTTTTTTTTTTTTTTTTTTTTTTTTTTCTCCTTTTTTTCTTCTCCCCTCCTTCCCCCCCCCCCCCCCCCCCCCCCCCCCCCCCCCCCCCCCCCCCCCCCCCCCCCCTTTTTCCCTCCCCCCCCCCCTCTTCTTTTTTTTTTTTTTTTTTTTTTTTTTCTTTCTTCCTCCCCCCCCCCCCCTCTCTCTCCTCCCCCCCCCCCCCCTTCTTCCCTCCTCTCTCTCCCCCCCCCCCCCCCCCCCCCCCCCCCCCCCCCCCCCCCCCCTCTTTCTTTTTTTTTTTTTTTTTTTTTTCCCTTTTTTTTTTTTTTCCCCTCCTTCTTTTTCTTCTTTTTTTTTTTTTTTTTTTTTTTTTTTTTTTTTTTTTTTTTTTTTTTTTTTTCTCTCCTTTTTTTTTTTTTTTTTTTTTTTTTTTTTTTTTTTTTTTTTCTTTTCTTCTCTATATGAATAAATGATTTTTTTACTTTTGATGGCAAAATTCGCGGGCTGTGTTCACCTTAAATTTCATCGCTAATCAAATTAATTTCAGACAAAACAAACCAACAGAGAACATCGAAGCGATTGTCGATAAAAAATACGAAGAATTGCTTCAGAAGGAGGAAAAACAGTACGGTACATATATCGACCTATTCAGGACTCCCAAAATGAGAACGTATACTCTGATAACCAATTTTGTATGGATGTGTTGCTCGCTCACGTACTTCGGAGTCAACCAATACATCGGCAGACTTCAGGGTAACATTTATTTGAACGTGCTGTTGTCCGCGACCAGTCTTATACCTGGTTTAGTATTAGTCGTCATTGCGTCGCGATATTTAAATCGCAGATTAAGTATGATCATAAGCTGTTGCGTGACTGCTATATCCTTCTTAGTATTTTTGATTATTCCAGAAGGAAAGCCTAATGTCTTACTAACATTTGCCATTATTGGTTTGATGGGTGCGCACGCGTCGTTCGTTCAGGCATATTTACACACTTCGGAGATATTTCCGACGGTTGTTAGGAATTCTGCGTTGGGTCTCGCCTCTGTCTTTGCGCGCTTTGGTGGGTTTATTGCGCCGTTCGTGGTTAATGTAGGCATTGAATGGATAACAATAGGAATTTTTAGTTTTTTGGCGTTTTCTGCGGGAGTTCTTTGTTTCTTCTTACCGAATACAAAAGATAAAGAGCTTTTAAATTCAATATCACAAGTAGAACAGTAAGATAGTCCGTAATTAAGTTTATAACTTTAAAGTTATATTTAATTTTCTAGCAATACTCGAAATAAATTATAAAACCATGGCGAATACTTTTATTGTTTTTAAAACAAAACCTATTTAATCATATTAGTAATTATGTAAACTTATAAAGTAGTCACCACATCCGCACGAATGCTTGGATTTCTTAAACGTACGGATTCTTTTGGTTGTACGACTAAAACAATTTTGTACAACGCTCTGGTGCGCAGTCATGTTGAATTTGGCAGTATTATATGGAATCCACTATATGCTATTCATTCGCAACGCGTTGAAAGCATTCAAAGATCTTTTACGTGACACCTAGCTTTCGTAAGCAGAGGATTTTCACATAGACACCCGTACCATCAGCGACTTAAAAAATTTAATATGTTATCTCTGTACAATCGGAGAACTCTAGCCGGTGTTACCTTCTTGCATAAATTGCTCAATAACCATATACAGAGCAGTGACTTACAGGATATCAAAATTGTCGTCCCTTACTCATTCCCTAGGTTTAAAATCAACAATATCTTCCAAATTCCTTCTGCCAAATTGAACACAGCTTATCCGGAGCTGAATATATTAAGTAGTGGGCTGATCGGTTTTAGAAAAAGCATTGTGGGGTGTCTTTCTCGAACCTAATTTCGCTGTTTTGCTGATGATTTTTCTTTATTTCTGCTCTAATTGCCAACAAATTTCTGTAATTTTATTTTATTTTAATGTGTGCTTGTATTATCGTATATGTTTTAATTGTATTTTTTTAATTTCTATTTAGACTTTTTTTTGAGAAACTTATGCTTACATTATTTGTCACACATTTTAGATGTAAGATTTTGTAAAATAATTAGTAGATTTAGGACTGTGTGTGATGTCGTAAGCTTAATAACTAAATAAATAAACGTCAATATTTAAAAAACACCTATATTTACATGCGCTACCAGTTCCCAAATCAAGGGCGTAGCGCGAGAGGAACTGGCAAAAGCTCTCCGACCCTTTTTTAATCGCCAAATTTGGTGTACAAGGAAATTGTAAGCAAGCAATCATTACGCCTTGCTTCACTTAAGATATTGAAACAAATCAATAAAGTAACAAACACTTAGGCCTACAACGCACTAGCGATTGGCCGCTAGTGCGTTGTAGGCCTTAGCAGTTAAAATAGAAGCACGCACTTCAAGTATAGTGAGAAAAATGTAGAATTGCTTGTTTATTTCATGATCACTGTCAAAGTTATGTTAACTCTTGGTATAAAGAGTACTTAAATCCGAATTTGATCAATTTCAAATAAAGAATGCCTTCGGCGCAAGTTTACTGCAGGAATTTCTTTTTAAATTTGGAAAGCGCTGATGTTCTTTACCAGCCAGTAACGTTAAGATACAATGTTCGTAGTTGATCTCTTTGGTGATTGAAACAACATCCATGTCCTAATTTAATGTTATTTCATATTATATTATATATATCGTAATATTAAGTCAAAACGATTAATAAAATGCAAGTTGTAAGTAAATTGTAATAAATTTAATATCGTAGAATTTTTTTATATGTTAACTGATTAGTGTAAGATCTATGAAACTTTAATTATACAGTCGAGATTTGGACGAACGACCTTAGGTTTAAAAACCGCACACAATGCTCTAGATGCGATCGGCGAATAGACAATTTAACCCGGCGATAGGATAACTCAAACATACCTTAGTAAAATTAGCTAATAAAAAAATCTATATTAACCTGATGTAATTCAGACTCAAGGCCTTCCTTAGTAGCCTGCATAGCTTCAAGGCTGGACCTGCACTGGGCCAAGGATCGTTCTTTTGGCCCGCGGAACCGCTCTATGGAACTCAACTCTTCCTTCATTAGACGTATGTCGGCTTTCACTTTGTCAAAAATGTCCCTGAAATTAAAAAAAAATATTTTAATAAGCCACTTGGCTTTCAATATACATAGCATACAATGATAAACAATGTGTCATGTTTGTATAGCCAAGTTACAATTTAAAGTCTGTAGCCCGTGGCACCTTCTATTAAGGTGCAATCAAAGTAGAGTATGAGATAATTTCACGTCAAATATTTGAATGAAAGTTGTTAATGGAGAAAATAATAAGAAATTCAAATTTGGAATGTGGATGTTGATTCAATCACCAAAGAGGTCAACTATACGAACATTTGAATCCGGCTTTCCAAATTTAAAAAGAAATTTCTGCAGTAAACTCGTGCTTTTTTTTGAAATTGTTCAAATTTAAGTACTCTTTCTACTAAGAGTTTTAAATTTTTCTTTTTCTGCTGCCAGTGATAATGAAATAAATAAGCAATTCTACATCAAAAATACTTTTATATAATCTCATTCGGTAATATTATAATTATGAAATGATACACAGACTTTTATTGGCATATTTTATATACATACTATATTCTTTAAGAATATTAAAAAATTAAATTCAAGCATTCTCCTAACAAAACAATGCTTTAAAACAATTTTTTAATTATTAAAGTACAATATGTCCCGACCAAGGAGGTTTCAATTCAATTTAAGTAAACATTATCTGTGGTGAGCGCGCTGGTTCCGAGCCAATAGACCAATATCAGACTCCATTTTGGCGCAATTACGTACATACGAATTTTAGTAATATTTTGCTGGATAAAACTTTAGTAGCAAAAATGTCAAGCAACACCGACGATACTGATGATAATTTTATTCCACCTGACATTAGAAACAGCTACGAAACTGACATATAGTGTTTTGCCAGAAAAATCAAGAAAAGCAGACGACAAATGTTACCAAGACTTTATGACTTGGAAACCTATAGCCATGAGATTAAATAAAGTAGTGTATGCAACTGCATATAATTAGGTATTAAAACACTCGTGTAATCTTATTTTGTAAAACTACACACATGTTTTAATACCCTCTATTATATGACAGTATAAGCTACTATTTTTCTTATAGAGGCCATAAAATTAAGAGTGAAGTTTTTTAATGGCCCAAAAATAGTGGTTTCTTCCCTTGGACCATTAATAGCCTCAATAATTAAACTATTAAACGTGTACAAGTAATACTTACTTGGCCTTCCCTTGTTTGGTTTCAGTCCTTTGCATTTCGGAAACAATTGAATTAATACTTGTCTCAGTCTTATTCAATTCCTGTCTTAACGTGCTCAGTTCTTCGTCGAGTGTCGTTATTTGTTCCATTAATTCTGATCGCGTCTTTTGCATCTCAAGTCGAGACCGGGATTGATTGAAGTAACCTCCTGTTAGCGAACCTTTTGATGATACCTAAACAAAATTGTTCTATCTTACACCTGTCAGAATATATTTAGCTTTTTGAAGTTATACTTCTTTAGGCGCGTTATGAAAAATTGATGAGAGTGAAATTTTACGATGCGCGCGAACCGTGACACAAAATTAACAGAATGAAGTTAGTGGCGCATGTTGGCACGCACGCCGCACCTGTTCACTGTGTATTTATATTTATTATATTTATCCACATGTTTTGAGTTTCTACATTTAAAACACTTGTTTTCATTTTGTTTTCATTATACAAGTGCGAATTTTATATGTGCGTCTGAATTATAATCAGAAGTGATTTAAATTTAATATTTAAATCAATACTAATTAATATTAGAAAACAATCATTTAATTTTTCAAATGTAAACTGAACTTTATTGACTATAATGACTCCTTTTCCAGTCTTTGATTATTTAATTGTAATTAATTATTTGCATGCAATCAAAAACTATTTTTAATAATGCCAAAGAAGTATAACTTCTTACGCGCGTACATAAGTACACGCACCCTTTTTTTTTAGCATATAAGTGATCAAAAAGAATTTCATACCTGATCTCCTTCTAAAGTGACACAATCCAAATGGTATTGTTTCCCAAGTTCTGTCGCACATTCGAGGTTTCTGCATATGAGTGTCTTCCCAAATATATACTTCATGGCCTTGGCGTACTTGGGATCGTACTTCAGTTTTTGGACCATAGCAATGGCGTTCTGGAAAAAAACATTTTATATTGCCTTTAGGCGAGTATAAAAAAACCGGATTTAAACAAGTAGGTAGTACGTAAACAACGTGAATTATTCAAGGCTGGCTCACATGAAACACGGAAACAGGTAGACTAATTCGATTTTTTTTCTCCTTGAACGCTGAGATTTTTATGGAGAGAAAAATTTGAAAAATATTGAAAAAATAGTTTTATTTACTAGTTCCGGGAATAGGGAATAGCAAAATGTTCCATATGTTGGTCTGTAGTTACTAAAAAGGTATGCTAAATAAAAATATTAAGGCGAAACGCAGTTCGCGGGAGCAGCCATAGTATATAGACCAGTTCAAACAACTCTCATCTAGAAGCACCCCTTCGTTGTCGATATCCCCAGGTGTCCCACAGAAGGATTTCGTTCATCGTCGTAACGGCAAACCCTCCTTTCCTTTCCTACCAGTTTTAGCTCTTTTTGTATTAATTATTTGACTCTTTACCTTTTGATTGTATTTAAAATTTTTGTTTCTACATACTTTTATTAATTATTTTATCTTTAGATTTTATTTTAGTTATAATAAGGTGTTATAAGTTATTTTTTTTATTTTTTTTGTTAGTAACTTTTGCGTTACTTGTACTCTACCCTCTGTAGGTATTTCTATTTCATTGTTCCACTTTAGGGTGCCTGGAGAATCGCTTGTTAGCGATAAGGCCGCCCGTTGCCTTATAACCTTTGTAACCTGCTTTTTATTTTTGTTATGTGTATGTTTTTGATTAAGTAATAAAGAAATAATAAATATGATATATATTCAAGCGGCTGTTGACCAGGCATCTCCTGTGCCCTCCTTTAGGCCACATGTCACCTAACATCGGTGGGGTTGTGGCCAAACGTCTGCCCAGTTATGTGCAACGCGTTACCACACACACTACTGCTTGTATATATTATTGAAGTTATACTTCTTTTGGCGCGTTAGGGAAAAATTATGAGAGTAAATTATTACGATGCGCGTGCAGACCGTCACAAAAAACCGACACCCTGAATATCTGTTCAAACGTCGGTAAAACAGTCGCAGTTGGCGCTTGCTCTTTTTTATCGACAAGTTGCATTGTCTGTCATGGCGTAGTGTTTTTCACAGTCGTGTTGATTTTAACCAAAATAATGATATGAAACCAAAAAATGCTAAAAAAACATAGAAGTGTCCATTAAAATGGACAAGAAAAATGCAATTCGAAGAGGGAAACGTCCCTCTAAAGTGCTCGAAGAGAATTATTACGCCAAAGAAGTATAACTTCTAACGCGTGTACATAAGTACACACACGTTTTTTTTTTTAAATACACGTATTGAATAGAAAATTGCCTTAATAAATACCAATATGTATTCTGAAGGAAATAAAATATAAAAATGCTTACATTATCATTAGGATACACCATATCCCTGACTTGCAATCTGTTCAAAGGCATAAAGGTCACTTCTCCGGGCAAGTTTTGTCTGTTCATCTCCTTCAAAATTTTGGTACCGACTGTGTCCGATTCCACGATGTGGTGGAATAATCTGTTTCCAGCTGTAACCTGAAGGTACACAATTATTACAAATTTGGAAAATAGTCTAAAATATTTGAATTTACTAATTACAATTGTTAATAACGTGTCGTTTGTCCCCTTACACCAATTTCGAACAATTAATTAATATAATTACCTCAACAGCTGTATAAATGGTCTTATCACAAGTGAAGTTCTCAATAACCGGGCCAAAGTACTGAGTCGCGATCTTGGCCCATTCCCCGCCTCGCTCCTGGAACGTCTCTAGCACTTTACGGACACTGTCTCGTCCGTTTAATATTGGCTAGAAATTAAATAATTATAAGTCGTTTCCTCGGATAACCCACGCCAGAACATTAATTTTTTTAAATATTCTAGTAATAAATATATTTACTCGGAGATAACATTCTAAAGATGAAAAATATTTTAAAATAGGTCCAGTAGTTTTTGAAGTTATTTGATACATACAAATATTTTCTATTTCAAATATTAATAGACTATGAAAACTTTTTAATAGAACCTACAGAAAATTAAATTGGCAAAAACCAATGGTGTTTTTAAATTAACATATAAAAACTAATGTTTTTTTAATTGAATTCCATCAAACGTGTATTTAATTATGAGGTTTAGGTATGTACAAAATGTATAAATTCGAAACATTTTCAATAAATAGATTTTATGCAAAGATTAACAATAAAGATCTATGATTTGGACAGATAAAAGAAAATGTGTCTAAATATTATTAATGAACCTAATTACTGCTCTTTCTTACCTTTCCAGCCATAGACCTCAGAGCTTGATCGGCCTTGGCCAAATCCTCTTTTAGTGAAGACAGATTTTGGGTTAAAGTTGTTTCTTTACGCCATAATTCACTGAAAAATATATGCAATTAAAGGAACAATATTCATGGTCAGTGACAATTTATAGAGATAGAGAGATAGCTAAATTATTTCACTATAAGATGTTTTTATGAACTTTTAAGTTTTTTATATAAAAGTCTGGTGATACAACATCGAAATGTAGTTGATTAAAAAAGAAAAAAGTTGACCACAGACACGTGAATAGTACATTTCCATAGACTACAGAAACGATAGGTTTGTAATTTATTAGAATAGGTTTGTTTTTATGTTTTGTATTTACGTAAGTCAACTTATTTCTTGCCTTATCTTAGCTTAGACATAATTCAATAAATGGAATAAAATATTATGAAAATTGCTATTCCGTAAACTTTACTGACTTTCTTGTACTCTGCTCCTGGTCCTTTTTCTTCTTACACTCGTAATACTGCTTGTTATGATCATCTATCGCTACCCTCTGTCGCTCCATTTCCTTGGTGAGTTCTTCTATTCTCTTCTCCAACTCTGTCAGTTTGGTCGCGTCACGTCGTAAATCATCACGTAGTTTTACTTCGTGGTCCTTTTTGTCTTTAAGCTGTTTATTTAGGGACCTGTAATATATATGTCGGAGATTCAACGCAAAATTATAATTACAAAGTTGGTATCACTACCGTCGTCCGACATTATTACTTAATATTTAAAGACAGTCAGTGCGCACGTCCGGCGCAGGCGTCGATCGGAATGCAACTCTAGCACTTCACGACCGATTCAACGCACTACTGACAGCTTGACTTTGACAATTGACACATTGACACTTTACCACCTGTAAGATGTCCATGATATTGCGTGGTGTTGCCATTGTAATCAAACAAATTATACCGTGTTCTATTATAATCTAATCTCCGACACGGCCATTCTGATAACCAACGCGCTCTCGCGTTGCTGCTGCATGCCAGCCTAATTGCCGTTTCACCACGCAAAACATAAGTAAAGCTTTTAATAGCTTTCAACTTCATACCAATCAAGGCGTAGATGCCTTCGTATTACAACTTTATTCGACAGAAAAGCGTAAAAGCTTTCAACACTTCTTACAAGTAGCACATCAAACACATCGCAAAGCGTCCCAGCTTTCAGCATCGACACTGGTTAAATAAATCTAAGGTTAAACCACAGCAAAGCGTCCAAGCTTTCATCATCATCATTGTTCAAATAAATCTAAGGTTGAACCACAGCAAAGCGTTCAAGCTTTCATCAACATTGATCAAATAAATCTAAGGTTAAACCACAGCAGAGCGTCCAAGCTTTCATCATCAACATTATTCAAATAAATCTAAGGTAAAACCACAGCAAAGCGTCCAATCTTTCATCAACATTGATCAAATAAATCTAAAGTTAAACCACAGCAGAGCGTCCAAGCTTTCATCATCAACATTGTTCAAATAAATCTAAGGTTAAACCACAGCAAAGCGTCTAAGCTTTCATCAACATTGATCAAATAAATCTAAGGTTAAACCACAGCAAAGCGTCCAAGCTTTCATCAACATTTATCAAATACATCTAAGTTTAAACCACAGCAAAGCGTCCAAGCTTTCATCAACATTTATCAAATAAATCTAAGGTTAAACCACAGCAAAGCGTCCAAGCTTTCATCAACATTTATCAAATAAATCTAAGTTTAAACCACAGCAAAGAGTACAAGCTTTCATCAACATTTATCAAATAAATCTAAGGTTAAACCACAGCAAAGCGTCCAAGCTTTCATCAACATTGATCAAATAAATCTAAGGTTAAACCACAGCAAAGCGTCCAAGCTTTCATCAACATTTATCAAATAAATCTAAGTTTAAACCACAGCAAAGCGCCCAAGCTTTCATCAACATTTATCAAATAAATCTAAGGTTAAACCAAGCAAAGCGTCAACTTTCTCAACATTAACAATAAATCTAAGTTTAAACCACACAAACGCCCAAGCTTTCATCAACATTTATCAAATAAATCTAAGGTTAAACCACAGCAAAGCGTCCAAGCTTTCATCAACATTTATCAAATAAATCTAAGTTTAATCCACAGCAAAGCGTACAAGCTTTCAGCATCAATACTAAGCCAAATTACTGCAAAGCGTCCCAGCTTTCAGCAGATCATTAGGACAAAGCGATGAGGCTTTCAATCCATCCTTGTCACAAAGCGTAATAACTTTCAGACAACATAAAACCTTTTAACAATCAATAACGATCATAAATTGTGTAATAAATAAAATACCATCACGATCTAGACCAACAAAACTAAAGAAAAATTTGTCATCTCCTCAATTGTTCACGGCTTAATACAACAATTCAGTTCAGACAACATAAAACCTTTTGACAATCAATAACGATCATAAATTGTGTATTAAATTAAATACCATCACAATCTAGAATCTAGATCAACAAAACTAAAGAAAAATTCGTCATCTCCTCAATTGTTCACGGCTTAATACAACAATTCAGTCAGACAACATAAAACCTTTGACAATCTACGATCATAAATTGTGTATTAAATTAAATACCATCACATCTGATCTATCAACAAAACTAAAGAAAAATTCGTCATCTCCTCAATTGTTCACGGCTTCAACAATTCAGTTCAGACAACATAAAACCTTTTGACAATCAATAACGATCATAAATTGTGTATTAAATTAAATACCATCACAATCTAGAATCTAGATCAACAAAACTAAAGAAAAATTCGTCATCTCCTCAATTGTTCACGGCTTAATACAACAATTCAGTTCAGACAACATAAAACCTTTTGACAATCAATAACGATCATAAATTGTGTATTAAATAAAATACCATCACAATCTAGAATCTAGATCAACAAAACTAAAGAAAAATTCGTCATCTCCTCAATTGTTCACGGCTTAATACAACAATTCAGTTCAGACAACATTAAACCTTTTAACAATCAATAACGATCATAAATTGTGTATTAATTAAAACACCATCACGATCTAGATTCTAGATCAACAAAACTAAACAAAAATTCGTCATCTCCTCAATTGTTCACGGCTTAAATACAACAATTTCTCGGAGCAGTGAGGTCTCTCCGTAAAGCCTGTGAAGTGCCCAGGAGACTTCCGTGCTTCTGGAAGGAGCTAGGCTGGCTAAATTAGCCAGGACTTTACGCACAACGACCAATTATGAGTGAAGTGAAATGCGGAAACTGAGTCCACCAACCTAAACCCTTAACCCCCCCAAACTTATGAAACATTACCAAATGCAAAACAGATTGCACAATGACATAAAATTAATCATTTATGATTACTATGGGGTCAAGACATTCTGACAACTCAGACAGACTAGCCAGATATTTACGCAAACATTCGTGGCACACATATTGGGATCATCTGATGGCACACAAATGTAACGATCATTCGAGCATACTAATAGTGATCTTACATGGACCATTAAATTTTTCAGTTAACTTGTTAATTATACGTCAAAACGTGTTTTATCTCTTTTGCCTGCTCGTCCATCCTACTTTTAGCTATTTGTCTTACTTCTATCAAATCCTGATTCTCACTAGTATGAAGATTACTCTAGGCGGACTCTTGTAATAGCAAAATAATAATTAAAACGGACTCTCACCCGTACTTTTCGAAATAGTATAAGACGACCGAAAGATAGCTTCAATAGTATCTTTTTCTATCAATTCTATAATTCAATTAACGTCAGAACTTTGGTTCGGATTGTAACCATTCATTACTCACACGCGAAGCATTTACTTCCTATAGGGGTTACGGGCCAAGTAACCTACGTGTCGAATTCGAATTGAATCGAATTGTATGAATCCTTTCAGCCTTTCGGTACTCTAATTCGTAATAAACGCAGGCTTTTGAACATCGTCCTATCATTAATACCTGATAAAATCCAAAGGCCACGACTAAATTGGAGAAATATAATGCTCGCACAAGACCATCAATTTGTTCCGATATTAATGGCAATGGGTAACTGTCACGCACGGTATTGGAGTTAAGTTCCCGATAATCAACGCAAAGACGGTCGGACCCGTCTTTCTTCTTAACAAGAAATGCAGGGCTAGAAAAAGGCGAAGAGCTCGCACGGACTTTTCGTTCCAAATCAGTAATAATCTCACGAATTACGCTACGTTCAGAAGGAGCTAACTTGTACAATTTTGTTAGGATTTTTTAGCTTAATTTGCATCGTGCCCGTATTGACGGTAGTATTAGAATTTCCACTAGTAAAATTTCCTTTATATTTTGTCCCAATTTTTTTTTTCAAATTCAATATCGTTACGCTCAGTTAAGTCGGTGCTAATTTTATCCAACTCTGTATTTATGCTTAAAGTACCTAAGACACGCATTGACACTAGCATCGCGTAAAATCTTAGCGCCGTCGCTATTAAGGGTGAACATCACACCAGGTGATTTAAATATCTACCTAAGATTACGTCATACTGGAGCAAATGTGAATCAACAATGACAAACTGCCTATGCAAATTTCGATTAGAGGATGTACAAACATTGACCAATTTTGATTGTAAATTGGAATCTTTAAATTTTTATTCTCGTTAAATAAAATAAATAAAACAGTGGCGCAACAACCTCTCCAGGCCCAGGCACCAGACTTCCGAATCCGTTTCATGATCAGTTACATTGTAAAACAAAAAAAATCAGAATGTCCAAGTTTGTGGCAATAAGAACATCGCGTTCTACTAACTATTGGCTGTTCACTAGATTTATCAACAGACGTGCGAGGGTGGGTACCCTCATTTTTATTCGTAAAAATAAACAGTGTCGTTTTAAATGTCCTACCTTATCAAAAAAATGGCAACAGCGACCTGTAGTTAACTTGCATATTTTAGGGTAGAAGCATTATAGTCACCACGGACCTAGTCTGAATTTCACTTAAGGTTTTTAATGTTAGGCTACGTATTTAACTGTGACACAAAACTCGTCGGAGTATTTTTAAGTAAATCTGTGCGTACCTGAACATCCGCGATGTCGGTGATCACGACAGATCGATTTTATTAGACTCACCCAAACTTGTCTCCAACCGGTCGATCAGCACCATTTTGTTGGTGGAATATTCATTGTAGGTATCGCGAAACAAGTCGTGAAACGTCCTAATTCCAACAAGCTGAAGAGCAAGTCGGTCCTTAAACTCTTCCCAGGTTTTACACAACGGGTACGAACTTGGAGCCCACAACAACAACAGAACAAACGACGGTAGATAAATCTCACTTGATTTTAGCGTCCTTTTATCACCCACACTAGAAGGCTTCTCTTTTAGGAGTTCTAGGTATTTTGGAAGCCTGCCATCATATTTTGAAATTTACTTCATAATTAGGTGTGAAATATTGACGATTTCCAGTAGCAGGCATTGCGGTAGGCACGCAGGATGAATTTTGTATTGATCCCACTTCTGATGTCGGAGATTCAACGCGATTAATAATTACAAAGTTGGTATCACTACAGTAGTCCGACATTATTACTTACTATTTAAACACAGTCAGTGCGCACGTCCAGCGCAGGCGCCATTCGGAAAGCAAATCTAGCACTTCACGACAGATTCTACGCACTACTGACAGCTTGACTTTGACAATTGACACATTGACACTTTACAACCTGTAAGATGTCCATGATATTGCGTGGTGTTGCCATTGTAATCAAACAAATTACACCGTGTTCTATTATAATCTAATCTCTGACATATAGTAAATACTTTAAATATAAGGACCCTTACTTGGAATGGATGAAGAAAAAGGAGAGGACGCCCACTAGAAACCTGGAATAAAAGGGATAGCGGGGAAGGATTGGAAAATGGTGGCGAGGATGAGAGACAAGCGGAAGAATTTGTCTACTAATGTTAATGACATGGACTCAATGTTATCCTGATTATGTAGTACTCGAATAAAGGCTATTTTTATTTTATATAACTTTAACTTGTTCGTCTAAATTCTCTGTTTCAGAGTGCATTTCCATCGTGGTTAATATTATATGTACCGACCCGGAACAACTGTTTACCTGAGTTCGAACCTGAGAACTCGGAGATAAGACAGGTGCTACTAAGCCAAAGGCAAATCTTTGATAATTAAAAAACCTTGAAACAAGTAACATCATAAGGCTTTTCATAGAATTGTTACGTCGAAGAAACGTTTCGTAGCAAAAATCACTAGTATTCGGGTTTCAAGAGTAAAAATTCCTTACTTCAGCTCTTTCTCAATCCATCTATCTCTGTCTTGCTTGGAGGTGAACTGAGTGCCCCGTCCCTGTTTGGCATACAACTCCTGTCTCTTCTGTTGGTTTAAGGCCAATGCGCGCGTACATTCCTCTTCACGCGCCTTCATTTCTTCATATTTTGGTTTTAACTCCTCCAATTCCCTCTCTTTCTCAGATATTTGTTGTCTTAAACGCTCCAATTCTGCTTCGGCACGTTCCTGTAAGGGTTTTTTTTACATATTAAAAAGCACCTTTTATTAAATACATTATCGAAAGAGACTGCAAACGAAAGCTTAGTCGATTATGCCAAGTGATGGAAATTTGTGACTTATATTTATTTATTAAATCGAACCACATATTATAAAATTTTCTACATAAAATTGACTACCAAACATTCTATATTTCCAAAAAAGAGGTACAACTTATTCATGAGTTATGGAAATGACCAAGGGAAAGAAGAAGAAGGTAGACTAGAGGCGTTGGCAGGAAGCGAATGGAGAAAGATGTTTGGAAAACACCGGAGGAGAACCTTTACCCATTAAGGGGTTCCGATCAATGGAAAGGAATCAATAAAAAGGAGTAACAAGAAAAAAATATAACATACTAGCAGACCGGCTAAGCATTGCTGTGGCTAAGGTTTTAGTTATATTACATAGTAGTAACCTATTCAAGGGAAACTGTAGGAGAACACCAGTCATGGGGACCACCATGGTTTTTTGGTGGTAATGCCATTAAATTGTAGCTTATGTGAAACTTTGGTACTTTCAACATAGCGCCATCTGTTAGAATTGTGACTATCAAATAATAAACACATATTTGGCAATAAAATAATATTGCGGCTATAAATTAAGATGTAAGCTATCCTATATTTTAAGTTGGATTAAACTGCACTCGGTGTGCAAATTTGATTTAAATCGGTTCGGTAGTTTAGGAGTCCATAGTGGACAAACAACGTGACACGTAATTTATATATATTAAGATTTAAACTGTATATTATTATAAGGGTAGGTAATAAATGGGCTTTATTATTTTTTGCAGATAAGGCCTACTTTTTACCAAAAACCAATAGATGTATGTATATTTACATCTACATACATCTATTTGGTTATTATAGTAATAGTATTAAAATTAAATTCGCACTTTATTTTATTACAGATAACTAATTTAAGCTAATTATTAATTTAACCAATTTAAACAGCCACTAATACTTATAATCGAAATTATTTACTCCTTACAAATTCTGAAATTAATGTTTCTTGCAGTGTTAGATGTTTAAATGTTTATACAATGAATACTGGACGGTTCCTTCCAACGGGATTCTTTAAATAATATAATAATAATTGATCAAATCTAAATTGCTATGAATGTTAAATTAAATGCTCTCGGGGCGTAACCCAAATGATTTTGGTAATCTCCACGCTTATAAAACTAAGAAAACCTGAGTGAGCAAAATGTACAACAAATGCTTTACAACTTTTTGAAGTGAAACTTCTTTATCGACGAATGGGAGAAATTTTGTAGCAAATCGTCACGTTTTTCGGTTACGCGCCATCTTGCTTTTTGAAGTCAAACTTCTTTATCGACGAATGGGAGAAATTTTGTAGCAAATCGTCACGTTTTTCGGTTACGCGCCATCTTGCTTTTTGAAGTCAAACTTCTTTATCGGCGTTGGAAAAAAAATTACCGTCACATTTTTCGGTTACGCGCCATCTTTTTCTTGTCCCTACCACGGTTGATCCGAAGAGATTCGAAGCCATTAATAAAAAAAAAATATAATAACGATAACAATGATAGTAATAATTATATTACAATTAATGAAATTCTGTAATAATCTTAGTAGTAATAAGGTAAAATGAAATAATTGTATTTGTATTCATGTCTATGATAATAAAAGCCTTTTGTTAAACTTTATCTAATTTAACTTTATTTCACCAATTTCTGTAAAGTTGCATATAGTAGATCATTTTTCGAAAAATAAGGTCATAAAGAAGTTTCACTTCTTATGTGTGTACACCTAGTCCACGCACACATTTTTTTATCTCACTTTACAGATTAGTAATATAATTTTTATCTGTACCCAAAAACAATAGAAGACTTAGAAAAGTATTTCCAAAGACAATGGAAAATAGACCATCTAACAATAACCAGAAAGTGCCAATTGTGCAAATTGCTGAACAACCGACGTTCGCACGGAGGAGTTTAGAGAACATACCTTGGACTTATTATCGCCATCGACATCATCAGTAAGGTCTTTAATACCCAGCTCCAGTTTGGTCTTCTCCCTCAACAGCTGTTGCTGTTCGGTCGATAAAATGTCTTTCTCTTCTCGAGCTGCCGCTACATCCTTTCTTGCTTCTTTTAGTTTCCTATGAAAACAATTAATTGCACAATCGGGTATGTCAAACATACAAAGAAACAACATGCAAAATGTCAATATTTTAATTCAAAAAATTAGTTATTTTATGTTATAATGTATGTCAGTGTGTTAAAATAAAAAACATGTTATACTTCTTTGGCGTACGAGATAAAAATCTTTTTAAAATTTTTATCTTTCGCCTTATTCTACGTTTGTAGAAAAAACTACACTAACAATAGAAAAATAGTAGCTTATACTGTCATATAATAGAGGGTATTAAAACATGTGTAGTTTTTTTCAAAATAAGATTACACGAGTGTTTTAATGCCTATGCAGTTTCATACACTACTTTATTTAATCTCATGGCTATAGGTAGCATTAAACAAAATGCAATATAAATGAAACAAATTATTTATTATAGTATGTACATATAATGTGTACTTAAATTGAATTGAAACCTCCTTGGTCGGGACACATTGTACTTTAATAATTAAAAAATTGTTTTAAAATATTGTGTTGTTAGGAGAAAAATGCTTTAATTTAATTTTTTAATTTTCTTAAAGAAGTATGAAAATAAAATATGCCAATAAAGTTTCATTTCATAATTAGAATATAACCAAATGACATTATATAAAGGTATTTAATATATTGAAAGTTTTAATGCATTATCTAGTTAAATAAACTTTATTTAAATATTACAAAAAAAAATTCTAAATAATTAAAGAAATGGACATTTTTCATTTTAAAATGTTGATTATGCTAACTACAGGTGTCGGTTTTTTGCGACGGTGTGCGGGTGTCGGTTTTTTGTGACGATGTGTGTAAAAATTTACTCTCATCAATTTTCCCTCACGCGCCAGAAGAAGTAAACTTCAAACATTTATGAACTCCCCTAAATTATATAAACTTTTTAAAATTAATTATAACTGAAATAAGTTATATAAAATCATAACAGAACTGTAGTTTTTGATATAAGGGATCTTTTTATTCGATACAAACATTACATTAATCACATTAATCTTAACATGTCCTTTCATGACAGTATATACACATAGTATTGTCTTTGATTAACATAACTTTTATTCATTTAATAAAACACTATTTTTGGGGGGGGGGTTTTTTTTTTTTTTTATTTTTTCCCCTTTTCCCCCCCCCCCCCCCCCCCCCCCCCCCCCCCCCCCGGGGGGGGTTTTTTTTTTTTTTTTTTTTTTTTTTTTTTTTTTTTTTTTTTTTTTTTTCTTTCCCTTTTTTTTTTTTTTTTTTTTTTTTTTTTTTATACACAGTTTAACAAACACAGATGATTAAAATCTTAGAAAAAAGAAATTAATTAGTTATATTTAGTTTATGGATGAGGGGTTAGCAATGGGGCTTATAAGTACCGTACATACTCTTAATTTTTTACATAATAATTTTAATTTAATTAAATATGAATCTTATAATTCTATTGAATCGCTCCCGACAGCCTTGTCGCTGTACTACATTCACAGGTATGAATGTAGTATATGAAATCTTTATATGAGAAATAAATAAAATAAAAAAACTATAAACTGTACCTGTTAGATTCTCTGACATGTTCTTGCGCTTCTCTAACCTGATCAGCATAATGTTGTTGTTCTTTGCCGCTATTCGCACGCATTTTTTGTAACTATAATAATGAGGTATTTATAATTAATTAGAGCATTGATGGCTCGAGGGTGTGACTCTCAAGCCTGAGCTCGATGGTTCGAATTAAGGCTGTGAGCCAATTTTCTGTTTATGGGCCATTTAACAATCGCTCGTACGGTGAAGGAACTGTGAAGGAAAGGACTTAGGCCTGATGACCTACTACCCTATTAGAAAAAGAAACAAATGATCACGAAACAGATCTCAGACAGAAATCCGAGGCACAGACCTAAAATGTAGTAGTACTGTTCTTTTTATATAAAAAAATATAATAATCCGCATAATTGTTAGGAGTGGCAATGTTTTATCTGACAAACCTAGTACTAGATTAAGTTATGTGGTTCATTATATATATAAGTGGAACTAAAACATGGCCGCAGAATTTTATTAGCGAGCCTCTAGCTCGAAATCACCAATATTAATTATATGTATATTATTGTGTGTATCCAGTAGTAAGTATAAACATTACAACAACTAGGCAATTTAAAAAAATTTATGGATAGAAGAGAAACATAGACAATTTCAATAATACATACAAGACAAAATTATACTCTTTCATACAGTTTGAACAATTTGTATTTTTTTAATGGAGCTTATCTGTTGAAAATGTAAATAAAACGAACATACATCATCAAGCTTCCTCTTATTCTCACGGTGTTCTGTGTCGTGGATGATAAACTCTAGCACTCTGCGAGACTTATCCCACTTCTGGTATTCTTTCAACTCTTCCTTCTCCTCTTCGAGTGTCTTCAATCTCTCTTCAATGGTTTTTAGGAAATCATTGATTTTCTCGACCTGTAACATAAATGTTGTTTTTATGTAAAACAATTATAATTTTTCTGATCAACAACATATCTGACAAATAGCTTGGTCAATGACATTACATATAAGGAAATATTATAATGTGCGGGAGCAACACATACTTGAAACTAAACTACAGACTATTTATTACGTTATTAATAATGTGAAGTGGTGCCTCCACATTCTGTAATAACATTACAAAAACATTACAACATGCATGAGTTGTTTTTCTTCTTCATATTAAGTATAAGTGCGGGAACTTTTCCCCTATGATGCTAAATCTGTCCAAGTAACCCAACAACTATAACAGGTGCTCATTCTTATATAAAATAGGGCTATAGCTATTTTGCAATGCTAACCTTGCCAACAGTCTCTTTTAATATGGTCACAGATTCTTCTCTCCGCTCGTCATATACTCTAGTACCAGCAACTTCTCTCAACAATTTTAATCTATGTGAATCTGGTGCTACGGCCATTTGATTAATCTGGAAATTGTTTATGCTCATTATTTAATATTATTTTTTGTGTATAGGGTTGGGTGTTGCTTAAAACCACTATATTTAATTTAAAGTTGGCTGTGTTAATAGGTACGCCCTAAATGAATGAATGTGTCTAAACAAATCTGCAGCAAGTCTACCAGACCAAAATTCATGTAAGTCATAAATGTCAATTTAAGTTATTTTATTTTAGTGGTGCCCATAATCAAAAAACAATTATACAATGTTATTGATTTTTTTAATATTTTCTCTTGAATCATTAATAATTCAACTTATTTAATTATTAAAATTTGCCTAACAAATACTAAAATACATCATAAATATTAATGGCATTGAGTAAATCAAGAATATGTATACCTTTCCTTGCTTGACAATATAGTATGGATTCGAATTAGACAAGCCAGCGCTTTCCAAGAGATTCAACACTTCTGAACGAGGAACCACTTTCTTATTGAGGAAAAACTGATCTTTCTTTGATCCAATAACTCTTCTAAGAAATATCTCATCCTTGTCAATCTATAAATAGAGTTTAATTAGGCAATCTGCTATACATTTTAATCTATCGGGATAATTAAAAGGGACTAAGATATGCACTTACAGGAATTCTGTTATCAGAGTTGTCAAATATAATTTCCACAAAGGCTGAAATTACTCTGGGTCCTGTACCTTCATGTAGCAAAGCCAGTCTTTGTTCTGGTCGGAGATGTGAGAACTCATCACTGAGTACAAATTGAATAGCTGTAAATACAACCTTTTAAAATAAAAGCATATTTTACATGCCTTATGTAAAAGTATATTTTACATGAATAGAAGTGTTGCATTAAATATTCAAAACACAATACACTATATTGGATATCAGTTTCGTAAAATTTTAATATATTTTAAATGTAGGCCACAACTTACATTGGTCTAAGACTAGAGAGACTTACCATGAAAGAAGTTACTTTTGCCTGATCCATTACGCCCAACAACTACATTGTGCCGCTTATCAAAAGGTTCAACAACAATTTGCTCTCGATAACTTTTAAATCCTTGAATAATAACCTGAAACGTAATGTAAAATGGTACTTAAGTATAAAAGTAATTATCGAAACTAATATTAAATGATGTCTAATGTAATTTAACAATTCAACACTATAAAAAAAATGATTATCTTACTTGTTTAATGTGCATTTTTGGCAAAAATTAGCTTAAACATTTATCGAAAAGTAAAAAACAAGAATTCATAAAGAACTATTGCTCCGAACAATAATATTAACGCCTCAAGTACGCCAACAACTAACAAGCAATAATTCAGTGACAACAATTGACCGCCATTTATTCTGTCGCTTTGATTATTGACCGTGGATAGTTAATACCTGACATCTGACAACCGTGTGTGACGGTTGCCTTGTACCGTAGAGTAACATTAATAAAGATGAAGAGTTTGCGTAAAACGCATGGTATAGATATACTTTTACATCAATGTCTTATCATTGGTCACGTGAAATTATTGACTTAATCATAATTATGAGATGTTAATACACAAATCTGATAGCCGAGGTTGAATTTCTCAATCTTTTTGTTTCCTCGTTTTATATTATTGTTCCAAATTTTACCTATATTTTTTACCTCATAGATAATATTTATTATTATTATAATGTCCTAACGCACTTAGTTATATGGCAATATCTAAAGGTACTTTATGTATGAGTCTGACGGATTGATGATAGTGACACACTTGACATTCACATTGTTAGCCTTTGATAGCAATTATTGCAAATTCCTTTCAATCTGTTACTGTTGCCATTTTAAATTTAAGTATGTACAAAATTTGCACGTACCTAATCAGTCGTTTATAAATAATTTTAAACAAAGTAAATTTATGGTCAAGGTCTAATTCACAAAACAAACAAAACTTTTTACTAAACATAAATGTTAATATCAAAACCTAAAGATTTATAATGTGCTATTAGTAGATGGCGTCACTTGAATAATTGTATTATTTTAGTAAATTAAAAATATAAGTTTAAGCATTTACTTATAAATAAATCAAATCAAACCGTACAACAATTATTACAACCTCAATTATGTCCCTACAATAATTATACTTTATTGAAGTTTACTTCTTAGGCGCGTTATGAAAAATTGATGAGAGTGAAATTTTACGATTGCGCGCGCACCTATGCACAAAATTGCAGTGTGATATACTGCCACGAGGCAAACTACAATAATAATGACTACTTCACCTTTCTCACAACTTAACAAAATTTTGAATACTGACAATTTCTGCAATGACTTTACCTTTTAAACAAATATAGGAGTTTTAATTATTGTTTAAAATTAATAATTATATACCTAGTTATTTTCATTATACAAAATATTTGTGAAATAATATAAAATATTTGTGAAAAATTCTAACCTTCCTGATGCTTCAATACAATTGAGGTTAACTATCCGTTTTTATCGAGTATTATTGTTGATTAAAACTGAAAATAACCATTATTCATTCTTTTGTTTATTGCGTTTGTTACAGCAACTTTTTAGAAATATTCTCACCTTTATCAATAATTGAGAAATTTAAGCACGAATACTATAAGGAGAAATGAAGGCTGAGCATTACAGAGTAAACATTTTAATAATAACTACCCATTTTTTCAACTCAATTTAATCTCATATAGGACAAAACAAAAAACAATTGATGAATCAGTGGAAGTGCACTAAATTGAATACAAAAAAGAGTTGTCATCTTATCGCCGTGAAACATCAAAAACTGGAGGTGGAACAACCACCTCACCTTCTCGAGACACAATGGTTTGAAGTAATTTCAATGAATTTGATTGTGATGGTGTCGAGGTAGGAATGTTAATTATAAATATGATGTATGGTGATGTTCAAGGTTCAACCTTTCAACATAGGCATTGCTTACAACATTACTTTATTCCCCTACAGGGTAGTTAGAGATATTGTATACCTCAAAACATCCATGTTGCACTTGTAGTACCGAAACTCTGTCCTGCCAAAGTGACCCATTCCCACTTATATGGACAGTGGGTTATACACCTTATACCTGATGCAACCACTCACCATGATACTTAAATTAATAGATGTTATTTATATATTTCAGGTTATTACAAATAAAATCATTTTGGAAACAATTGATATCCCAAACAAATAAACCAACATACAAGGTAATATCAGTTTTGACTACTTGAATACTAAAAAAGCCAAACAAAGGTGTGCACAACAGTGACAACATAACTCTAACAATTTCATTATTTTGTAGGATTAAAGAAAGGTTAAAAGAAAATCATGTCGAACTGAACAACAAAATCCCCAAACAACTCCAAAGAAACCTACAAGGAAGACACCGGTATTATATTTAAATTATCTCTATCTCTAAATAGAATAAAAGAAAGTTGCTATCCAGGTCTGTAGCATGTGCTACAAATTATATTATTAACACATTTATATAATTATATTAATATAAATGTGTTAAAAATTTATAATATGAATTATAAAAAATTTTAAGTTTTGCATGGACAGAGCTTAAATTAATATTCTCTTATTTGTTGCAGAAAGCAAGTAGTTTTGGAGAAGCCTCGTAGATGCACAACCAAGTAATGATTAATTTAAAATTACAAACCGAAATTCTGATGAAGACATTAGAGTCACTTAAAAATAAATAGTATAATGAAATAAAAATGTTTTTAAAGATAAATAGTGTTTTTATTTGTTTTAATGTAAGAGAATAATAATAAATATTTATTTAATTAATTTTTCAAATGTAAACTGAACTTTATTGACTTTAATGACTCCTTTTCCAGTCTTTGATTATTTAATTGTAATTAATTATTTGCATGCAATCAAAAACTATTTTTAATAATGCCAAATAAGTATAACTTCTTACGCGCGTACATAAGTACACCACCCTTTTTTATTGTCTTAAATTTACAGTTAAAATATACTTGAAATCTATGGTTATTTGTTTATAAAACAGCTACAAAGTAAGGGTTAGATTCAGAGTCGTGACTTGCGCTAAGCACGATTCCGGAATGTCATAGCTTACACACCTTACATACCATTACTTAAATCTAAAGAAAATATCTGAAGTACTGTTTGTCCTTTAATAATTGTATTAAGTAAAGTTCGAAGAATTCGAATTCTTATATTTATTTATTTTTGAAGTTTTTGCGATGATGTCAGAATTTCAAGAAACGCGTTAGATGTAGACACACAATTAACATGTCAAACACGATAAAATACATGTTTTCGTATCAGTTTATGCGTTGATTGCTATTTAATTATTGTTCATGAAAATTAAGACGATTTTCCTCTATGACGCTGAATTCTGGAATAGGAATATCTGAAAGGAGGAAAATAGATGCTCTGTGAATGTGGTGTAGGAGTTGAATGCTCATTGATAGGATTCCATGGAACAGCTCGAAAATCAAACGTGTCCATACTAAGAGGTACAGGTAAAAAATTCGATACTTTGTTACTAACGATGCTGAGAGCGGATTGTGAGAGGTAGAGAAGATGGTACCAGACGTCTAGGCCGATCCCCTATTCGCTGGTCAGGACCACTGGCTGGTTTATCGAAGTAGATGAAATTGTGCGGCGACTAACATGAAGAGAGCAACTGAAGCAGAAGATAATCTCAAATCATATAATTTTTGTCTTTTTTTACTTACTAAGCTCATTTTGGATACTTCCTTCGCCAATAGGAAGAACTAAAATATGATTTAATAATGTAAAACTAGTGAAAATAAGGTTTTATATAATAATTTATGGCTTGTAAAAAGTAGCATTTGGCACACTTATTGACGAAATATTTATTACAGAAATGAAGGCATTCAGTTCCAATCAAATTTACGTCAGACAACGACATGAGGAAAGATTTACAAATATATTAAAATATATTTGCACGTTGACCTTTTTAGTATTTAAAATTCACACTTTTAAAACTTGTTTTTTGGTTTGCTGGGATGGATCATTTACTTATGAACCATAAATATAAATATAAGTTTTAGAAACAACGAAATCATATACTTTTTGCTTTGTTACCCTTTTTATGAATGCCTTGGTGCTTATGACGTCGGTTACAACCGAACACTTAACACATGTAAATGTTATTTGCGTTACTTATTATATAAAAATAAGTTAGATCTTATCGTATCCGCACTATCATAGAATATTTATTTACGTATACGAGTATATGGGAAAGACAAATTTGAATTTTGCAAATAGCGACAGACGAGGAAGCAGAGACAAATTAATGGTATTTTGAATTCATGTTAATTAATTCTATATACTTTCTAAACCTAATTTTGTAATCGGCATTTTATAGGTGTCATTAATTACGCTTTAACCAACATATAATGTTATATTTATATTATTAATCTCTGTTGTATTTTATTATTTATTCAATAATAAGCTTGGATTTTCACATTTTGATATAATATGTTTTAGAAGCTAATCTATATAACTAAAATAGTATTGACCTCGTGCTTGCCAAACTGGAAAAAAGCGGAAATTGTGACATCTAAATTTGCAAATATGTTTATCTATTATCTATGGAACAACTACAGGTATAATGCTCGGATTCCAACCTTAGCCTGAGGCCAACTGAAGATTGTACAAAGAATACCTGCTAAGTAGTATCAAGGTTAGATTTACCAATGTAATAGGACTAAACCCTGACAAAACATAAAAGGGAAGGACGTCTATAATCGTTCTTTTATCATTTTTGCAATGTCGTCTTATTATTGAGCGGAAGACCATTTCCACTGTAATCTAGCCTATAAAATAAAAAAAACTTAAGCATTTCAGTTTAATAACTATATAGATTAAATCTGCCTCTATCTATGGATACATAAACTTAGGGCATGTCAGCAGCAGATTATGAAGTCCATGTCACACAGTCACTGAACTGCACGGCTTGTAAATGCGTTGTCAGAATTCTTAGATTTCTTATTCCTTACCAAACCTTACAATGGGACGGTTTTATGATTTGAATTTAGATATTTGTAAAACTGTTAGAATTAGTTGGGTAATTATTTAAATTCTCTATTAATATTGATAATTGTATTGATTTACTTATTTCAATTAAATAGTCTTATGAATTTAAACTCAATATAATTTTTTTATTCAATCGTCTGTAGGGAGGGCGGGCTAGTTGAGCAATTTTTCAC